AAGCACACAGCTGATTTCTAGCGTTAAACGTCGTTGGCTCCATAGAGTTATATTTTTTAAGTTATCCACTCAATGTTATTTAAATGGGTTTCATTACATCACCGAGTGAGTTTTTTGATACTTTACATCACTCGAGAAGTAAGGAAGTTGTATACATCACGCTTAGGATAGGGAAGTTTAACATGGCGGGTTAGGTAAATATATTTTTTATTCCCATTGCGAAGCACGGGTACAGTAGCTAGTTATTTATAAACTTGAAAGAAGTCGAGCCATTAATGCCGTTTTAGTATGTATATGTACATACTTTACTCGCTAATAATTTGAAACTACGCATTAGGTCAAAGTCTGTACGCTTATCAGTGTGGGAAAGTAAGCTGTGTTATCCGTAGGGAATACTGCGTGGTACACTGTTACCATTTATATGTGCGGTTCTAACAAGACTTGATTAATAATTATTATTTTTAACAAGTGATGTTTTAATTTACTTTTTTGTTTGGGGTTTGTGAGTCGCATTTTGCTTGGGAGAAAGTGTTAAGGATACACTTTAAAAACAAGGTAGACCTTCCTTTATCTTGTTAAAATTGTAATCAAATTTGGAATAAAACACCTCCGCCACAGAAAACTAGCAGACTTAAGTCAGCCTAATAAGCTATCCATTTGCCTGATTGGATTTTCACTGAAATATTTCCTAAAACATTACAGAATTTTTTAATATTAATAAAATAACATTAGATTTAATAAGTACTGTACTTAGGTTTGATGAATAATATGTTTGATGAATAAACTGTGTTTAGTGAAATGTTAATTGCTTAGTATGACATATAAAATTAATTGATTTAAAATGTATCCTCACACAAGCAAATCACATCAGGTTAGGACTACTTATTCCTCCTTAAGAATTACATGAGAATTCCAATTTCACAGTCTTTGGGAATATTCTCCGTAAAGGCCCACGAATTGTCGTTACCAAAAATCCAAAATGTAAACTGAAAGACTGTGCACAGTTGTTAGAAATGTTGAACTCCTTGTCAATATTAACGCAACTATCCAGGCACGTTGGAAGTTGAAGTTGCATTGCAAGGATGAAGGAGTTGCCTTCCTAAACCTAGGCGGGCAAATTAAACGAACTGCAACAGTAGTTTCTTTTCATTTTAGTATCTGAATAATATGTAGCCATGGTCAAGTGTGTGCTATGGTGTTCTCAGTAGAGATGCCGTTATCCATTTATGAATTTAATGGTTGTATAGTGTATGGCAAAAATTCTGCTTCCCGGCAGAAATATAAATATTTCCCGTCTGTGAAACAATATATTGTCAATGATGATAATGTTCGGAAAGGATTTTTTTTTAGGTTCATCCACGTTTACACTGAAGTTTGCAGCATATAAAAATTTGTATTAAAACCCGAATAAATCAAGTTTTATGCCGAAAGCATTTCAGTTATCTACATTTCGATGTTACGTTAGTAATCATTTGTGTGTAGTGTAATAAAAAACATGCAACAGATGAGCTGATTTTATTCTCCAAAATATTACGATGATTTAACACAACTTTCATTCAGCATGAAATTACCATGAAACACCCTAACTACCATGGTTGTTAGAACAGAAACTGTACGGATCACATAAACAAATTACGTCACTTTAATACCCCGGTATAATAATAGCTGTAACATCTGTTTTGGACATTTTAGATAGCTTCATTTAAATTTTGATAAACATTCGTTTACTTTCAGGCCAGTTACGTCAACTGTTTATGTTTATGTGCGTGATTTATGCCATTTCTGTGCCATTTGTGATAGAAAATCTTACAAAATTGAGCTAGGAATGCTGAGTCCTATCTCAATTCCTAATGAAACGTATCCACCCCCAAACAGTCCAATTTGGGTCGAGTCGCCGGTGTTTTGTTGGTCAGGTCAGGTGTGTAATTTACTCTAGAGTGCGCATGCGTGATAGCGTGCGTGTTCTACGCGTGATTTGATTCCTCCAAGCCGAGAATCGGGGCAGGAAATTGTTAGGGGAGAATTTTTGGACAGAAGATTGAAGTGTTTGAAAATTGGGGAAAAACTTCTAAAGGGAATTTTATTTGCTAGTTACAGTAGTTTATTTACATTTATGCGAGACAAGATTTTTTTATGCTTGATTTTTTGGTCACAACGTTTCGAAATTTTGATTTGCTGAATAAAGATGGTAAATTCATTTCTTGTTCTTTTAGCGAATTCCCCATACAGGGAATAAGCTATTACCGTAGTTATCATGGTAAGATCTAGACGCGAGAATAATTTACTTTTCCGTTTTAATGTCCTCAGATACCGAAAACACAATACGTTCAAATTTATATGTAGCATGATGACTCGATTACAAATCGGCCAATTTTGATGGAATTTGGTATAAATTTGTTTAAGTCTAAGTTCATTCGAACGAGTTCACAAACCAAGCGTAATCGGACTCTGGTAACGGGGGTTTATGGGATAAAAACTGTTTTCTTCTTTCAGTTTGACCCTCAAAATATAAAATTTTGCAGATGAAGATTATTTCCAAACTATATTGCAAACCCTTAAAAACATAAAACATAGTAGTTATGCTAAAGAGTTTTTTGTGTGTTTATAATTACGGATAAATCTCCCAAAAACTGAAAAAATTCCGAATTTTCATGTTATTCTTATGGGAATAACATAGGATATGAGGGAATAACATCTACGGTTGTAGATTGCTTATTTACTGACGCATTTTGATCAAACTTAGCAAATTTATTTATTTCATACTAAGCTATTAAGATTTCAATTAAAACCCACACTACATTGTCTTGCAGTAGCAGCATGGCTAAGTACTCATAAAACTGAATGTTTTTAATGAATACGTTTGACAATTTCAATGAAATATTATATTGGAAATCCAACAAGGCAATTAATTGGAAATTCGCTTATTATGCAGGTTTGCTGCAGTGGGGGTACTTTTACTCCACCAGTTATCACTGTTCTTCCCTGAAAGTCAAAACGTCAAATACTTTAAAAACAAAATAGTGTGTCCATAAACGCTAAGACGAAAGGACCACGTTTGAATCTTTTTGTAACAAAATTCCTCCTTCCCATTTAAAAATCAATTTTTATCTCGTATAAAATCTTCCCTTTTACCCTGGGACAGAACATGAGGGGTGTCCATGTCCAACCCTTAATTATTTCCATAGTCCCCAGTCCTTTACCATGTATTGTAACGGTTACCTCTCTTATTACACCCCTTTATTACCCCTTTAAGGACTTTTATCGCTTATTATCTTCTCATTACCAAACCCCACCAATGGTTGGGGGTAGTTTTTGAGAGGTGCCTCCGCCCCATTTTTGACTTTGCCCCGAGCTAAACACGGTGGTTAGGCGGGGGTGCTTTTTGGTTATGAATTATTGATGCCCAGACAAAAGGAAGCGGCTCTGAAAATATTTGTGGTTTCGAGTAGTCTTCGTTTTTTTTTTTGGCGGTCGACAAAAATGGGAAGGGTTCCATTTAGGTTCTTTGTGTTGGCTTAAAAAGTCAAGAAATGGTTTGCGTTATTTAAACTCCATAATTTTTATAAATAAAACTTATTGGGGTACTGTACTTTTTTAAATGTTCGTATTAATATTATGTTATTATGTCAAAGCGTTGACTATTCATTGAACAATCCGACATTGATGAAACAAAGTATACAAGAGTCAAGTTGAAGGAACTATGTACTTAATTTCTTAGGACGTCTAGATTTGATAGTTTCATATTTCTCAGTTTACTTTTTTTTATTAACTAATTAATTGCTTATAAAGAACAAAGTTCCACTACGTGGGTTGTTATTCAAGGCTTCTTAGATTGAATCGGCGTTCCAAATCTTCGTCGACGCACTCAAGAAGGCTGTGTCCATTATTGTCATACAAGTTTTTGTCCTAGGCACATGACCGCTTCGCACGAGCCCTTTCTTCTTCGTCGCATCTTTTTCTTCTCTTCTATTACCGATTTTATTGTTTACCGCTCCTTTGTCCTCTGTTATATTATAATTTAATCTGCTTTTTATCCTTCGGTGTTCTTTGGGCCGAGCCATTGTCGCAGGGAAAGGTAAATTGTGTTTAAGCTGTTCAGGAAAATATTTTTTTTTACTCGTTAAAAGAATTCTCATATCCGGGAGTTCGGTAGCCTAGTTTCGTAACAGAAAATTATAACTAAAAAGCTAAATACTCGTAGTTAGATTAAAGTTGTCTCACTATAAATGACTTAAGTTTAACATTTCATTTAAAGTCTAAATAATTAGTCAGCACTTTTTATTAAACAAAGGACTACTTGCCAAATAGTTTGCTAAAATTTACCATCATAATATTATATATTTCATCACTAGGGCCTAAAGTGACTCTTTCAAGTTTTACGATCAAACGAAGCCGAGTTGGGAAAATGAGCGAGGGTTAAAAAGTAACTTTTTGCTCTTGTGGTGAACTATATTTTTCCTACAGTTACCTAACAATGTACATGTTCTCTCACTGATTTTTGAAAGCAAAGTCGCCAATTCGCTCATCAGTGAGACAATGTTAACATTGTCTCACTATAATAACTTTGTCTCACTCACTCCAGATTTGCAACGTGAAGGCACGGAATAGTGAGCGCAATCGATAAATAATTTCGACCGATACGATGGCCACAGTCGAAATTTACAACTGTTTACAACAGCTGAAAAAATTAATTACATTAAATTTTAAAGTACGTACATGACTTTTGGATTTTGGAATGGACAGTTTAGTACTTAGTTCAGGGAATTGCATCGATTGGACCAAGTTACGCTCGTGAACTAAGGTCCAGCGCACACGGTGTGACTGTTTTACAACTACCACTACCGTTGCATGCCAGTTGTGCGCGCAACTGTTTTGTGACCTTGGCAAGCGAATGTATTGATCGGAGTGGGGAGGCGCACACAACGCGACTGCGACTGGTTTTTGTCATCTCACTCAAGTTCGTTTCAGGAACTCAAACCAGTCTGAAACCAGTCACAACCGTGGGCTCGCAGTTAGTTACAGTTGCGTTGCAGTTTGCAGACTTTTCTGGTCTAGTATTCGTGCAGACGTCATTAATTGCACGAGACCACGTGGTGTTTTGGTGGTATTTTGACGGCCTATAGTGTCAATCTCAAAATGAATGATCAAGAACTCAACATGAAGCTCGTTGGAGAAGTGGAGAAGCGTGAAGTCCTGTACAACTACAAACTGCCAGGATATTCAAGGAAAGATCTGACGGAGAAAGCATGGAAAGAGGTGTCAGTTGAATTGGGTTTGCCAGGTAAACAATCATATATATTTAATTTTGCCATAACTGATGTGTTGCCATTTTCAGGTCTCCAGATGCATAAACCAGAAAAAATAGGCCATGCAAAAGGGCCGAAAGTGTTTAACATGTTATAGAAAGGGTTTTTTATAATTTTCACAATTTCTTTACACATTTCTTGTTACACTTAAATACCAGGTATAATTGGATTAAAATTTATAAAAATTATTTATAACAATGGGATTGAAAATGATAACAAAACATTTAATGTTAAATGGCAAGATCAATAACTTTAATCACAAAACTATATGGTACCTACAGTAGTTTTTTTAAATTGTACTTTAAGTCAATATTATTTTATTTTTGCAATGCTACTTTCCACTACTATGGTAAACTTGCATATTTTTAATAAAGGAAATGGTTTGCCAGATAATTCCTCAAAGCAGTTCCTGAAAATTCATCCTGTATCACAAGGTTCAATATTGGTCGGGTTCTGCTAGATTGTTTATATTTTTGTTACCTATATTCTTATAGTCTTGAAGACAAAGTTGTGTAGGATACAAGCTTGCGCTTACTTTACTATTTACTGTTAAAGGATCACAGCATAGTATTGGCGCACATTCAACGCTGCAAATCTTTCTGCTGCCATTCCAAACACACATTCAATTGTTTTCCTTCCTCTGGTCAACCTGTAATTATATCCATTTAACATTGTCGAGGGGTTTTGCTGGAAAAATACCTCATCAAGCTGGTCAGCAGAAATGCATGTTCTCTTACGAAGTAGTATGGCGTCATGGGATGTTTTTATCATCAATGGTAATGGTAAAGGTGGAAGGGTATTATCACCGTGTTTCATACAGAATTTAATCGAAAACTTTTTCAATTCTTGTGACACCGATTGCCTCAATGCAATTTTGAAGGTTTTATAGCAGGTCAAAACTTCAGAAACATGTTTTAATTCATCTGGTGTAGGAGTAGGCACGTAAATGTCCTTTGGGACGTCCCACATAGTTTCTGAAGTTTCCTTTACAATATGTCTAACTGTGCACTCACCTCTGGCAAATATAAGCATTTTGTCACATATGTTTCACCAGTACATTTTGTACCCAAATACCTGGAAGCAATTCAACAATGTAAAATAATGGCTTAACATTAGTTTTGAAGTAAAAGTTCATCACTAAACAAACATTTTATAAACAAACTTTACGGGTTATTTGAATAAAATATCTAAACAGATTAAAGGTAACAATAATTTATAAATAAAAAACTTGTTGAAAACAAAACGTTTTTAAACACACTAAAAAGTAGAAAATAATTTATAAATATGTGGAAAGTATAAATACTTGTAAGATTTAAAACGAAAAACGTATGGTGCATGCAATAGATAATTTTCCTTCACCTATTGAACTAATGTATTATTAACAAATTGCATGCACACAACGTTTTTCGTTTTAAATCTTACAAGTATTTATACTCTCCACATATTTATAAATTATTTTCTACTTTTTAGTGTGTTTAAAACGTTTTGTTTTAGAAACGTTTTTATTTATAAATTATTCTCTACTTTGCAGTTTTTAATGTGTGTGGATGTTAAATCTATTCCAAGCATCTGTATCAGATTAAGACAGAGGCATGTGGGAAATCTAAGGTTTATTTGAGAATGTAAATAACCATTGACATTGGTAACTAACACCTTTATCTGCAATCAGATTGTTTATCTTTATTTTGAAATGTTCCTTTGTATAAAGAATCTCTTGGGAGCATAACCTGTACCTCTTAACCTCTGCTCTTTGAACTGTCAAATTTAAGTATTTACAGCTGACTTAAATTAGGCCTAATTGATATATTTACATTCTTTCAAAATGTAAATATTTAAAATTTGGAAGCCCATGGGGTGTAGCCCAAGGGAAATATGAAAATTAAATGATATAATATTGCATTGTCATCCATTTGTGAGCTATGTTTCAAATTTCAAGTCTCTAGGTCATCGGGAACTTTATTTAAAATTGATATCAAAATTTGTAGGAAAGCGACTAGCAAGCTAATAAAAACAAGCACATGGGGCGGAGCCCAAGGGAAATATGAAAATTAAATGATATAATATTGCATTGTCATCCATTTGTGAGCTATGTTTCAAGTTTAAAGTCTCTAGCTCATCTGGAAGTTAGTAAAATTGATTGCAAAATTTTTACCGGACACAAAAGCGAGCTAATAAAAACGTTTAATAAAACGTAGTTTTTATTAGCAATTATTGAATACTACACACTTCTGTTTATAAGTGTCTTTTCTTGTAGAATTTATTTATCAATAAGTTCTTGCTGAAAGTATTGTTTTCATCTCTTGTTTGATTTTTTTATTTGTGTTTCAGCAAGAGATTGCAAAGAAAAGTGGAGAAATCTACGGACAGTATTCATTAGAAAAATGAAGCCTTCGCCTTGTGGTTCAGGAGGGAGGAAAAAGGCTTACTATTTGGAAGATGCAATGCGGTTTTGTCTGCCATTCATAAAAGTGGTTTCTCCCTCATCAGGAAATTTGCCTACACCCTGCATAACACAGCAGTCAACTGGTGATAATGAAGGTTCTGAAACCCAAGTTGAAGAATATGAATATGATGATGAATCCACAAATGCACCGCAGAATTTTCTATCAATGTCTCCTTCAAATTTATATGATGCACCTCAACAAACTGAAAACCCCCCTGCAAGTTTGTCATCAAAGAGTACTTCCCAAATCCAGAAGAAAAAGAACAAAAGGTCTGCAGCTCTAGCTGATCAATTAGTTGCTGCCTACTTTACAGCCAAAAAGGCTAAATTGCTGTCAAACGCCAATGCAGACACTATCAATCAGAAGATTGATAGACAGCAGGGGATTAAGATGTTCCTGCTCAGCTTGCTACCTGAATTGGATGAATTGAGTGATTCACAAATAAAACTATTTAAACGTCAAGTTTTAAGGGTCATTGATGACATTTCAGCCTTGGACCACCATCAGCAGCCACGGTCGTCATGAGTTAGTTCAACAGTGCCCAAATCCCCATCTATGTCCGGACTCGACTCACATCTCAAATGTAGTTGGTCAAATGCATGGTGCAGATTTTTATGAGGCCTTTTCTCAAAGTCTTGATGTAACTAATATGTAAATACGTTTTCCTCAATTTTATTTGGTTTTTATTTATTAATCATTCCCTTCTACAGTAATTTTTAATGACAGTACAATTTAGTTGTTAAACTTACCTCCGAGTGATCATTATTCTTTCCTATGCAGGAACACATTTCCTCATAGGTGTGTCCATAATTCCATCTTCTCCAGGGAAGGACCAACCAGTCTCGTAATTTCCAAAAAGGAGTCTTTAGACATTTTGTAAAGCCGACTGTGACAGCTATAGCTGCAACATACAAATAGTCTAAAATTCAAATTCTTACTCAAATATATGTAAAGGAGCTATATTTGTAAAGGTAAAGGTAAGTTTTAGCTTTGGTCAGGTATTTTTAAAGCTTGTTATGATTTTTTATTTCGCCAAATCTCAAAAACGATGTATTTAAATACCTTCGCTACTGTAGCAGTAGCAGCAAAAGTATGGCATGATAAAAAAGTAATGTGAATAAATTGAAACTTATCCCTAGTAAGGAAACCCCTGTGTAAAACTGAACATCAGTCCACTAAAATATAACAAAAAAAAACATCAAAAATACTTGTTCCGTTCCAGATCCCAGTTCAGGCTGTTAGGTTACAAAGTAATGTAAAAGTAATGTATTACTTAATTTCTCCCCTTATTCTATATTCACATTTATTCCAAAAAGCCTTGAGAGTGGAAGATTTTGGATAATTAGCCCCACAAGGATGTCTATAGCCTGAGGGAAGGACCATCCCAAATTTGACTCCACCCCCTCCCCCCAAAACATCCTAAAGGCTATTAAGCCAATAGTGTCTCATTAATTGTTACCAACTAGGAAAACTAAAATAGGCTCCCAAAATAGAAGTCATTTACATATTTATGAGCTATTTACATGAAGGCTACCTGTTTGGGGTTTGGGAAGCCCAAATTTAATTGATTATCATTGTTCAAATAATCATAGTAGTTTAAGTAACTGGATCTGTCTATTAAAAAGTGGCTCTATGTATAAAAGAAAATTAGTTGTGAATTATAACTAATTACAAAATACGATATTAAGGAAAATTATCAATATATTAAATTTAAAATAAGAATGGTCCTCTTCATTGTCATGTTAAAGTGAATGGTTATAGAATTACAAGGTTAAAAATGGACAGTTTTCAAACAATTTTTATGCCCAGGGCAGCAAACTATTAAAGAAAATAATAACGATAGAGCTACAACATTTTAGAATAAAGTCACTGGACAAAAAAATTGTTTAAAAAAATATTAAGTGATACGCTACCTCCTCAGGGGGACTGTGCGCTGGGAGTCAGAAGAAAATCTTTAAGGTAAGTATCTAGACAGATATGCACATCAAGGTGTTTGGTATAATATAAATCACAATGCCGCAAACCCGAACTGAAACGGACAACTGAGTCAAAAATGGCAGCCTTTGAAATACTTGTTGAATTTTCGTAAATAATGTATTTTGCACTAAACCACATGGTTTTCCAGATATCCTATATATTAATCGGCAAACATGTTTCTTGAAAACCTTTTTTCTCAGCTCGTATGCATCGCAGGGAAAAACTACAAGGATCATACTAATATTATAAATGTGATAGTTTGTGTGTTTGTTTGTTCGAAGTTCAATTAACTATACTGGTCGGATTGGGTTGAAATTTGGTCTGAGTATAGCTCACATTCCCGATTAACGTATAGGCATATTCTAATCTCAAAAATCCATTCGGGCTCCGCCCCAGTGGCTCTAGAGTTTCCCATGTTAACCTTTTGATTACATATTTAAAAGGAATTAAAGAATTTTGCCAGCTGTTTCAACTTCACAAGTTTGTTCTATGATATTCAATAGCATTAAAAGGTTATAAGGTTTACCAACAGGGTGCAGCACTATTAATTCTTTTTGCATTTATGGCAACAGATAATTTGAACCAAGCAGCAACATAAAGCTGTGAGAACTTTACTTTTTTCAATTTTTTAGGTACAATGGTAGAACATTATGGCTAGGGTAGATCTGCTATACTATAGCATACCGTAAATTATAGTAAACAAAATTTTCTTAAAAATAACCAATTTTCTCCAATTGCAAACGCAAAGCACGAGTATAACTGCAATAAGCATTTTATACTTATACACCTACCCCGACCCGTCTGAAGGGCGGGTACTCTGCTACTACCTTTATAAATAAAAATAGGGCTCATAAATAATCACAAAAACTACTTAAAAATAAAAAATAAATTAACATGGGCCTTATGGTTTGTCATGCTGGGGACAAAATAACAACGAAATAATAAACAGAAAATCAAAACAAAACAAATTAAAGAAATTTTTGTCACATGTTTTATTTACAGCGTGTGGCGAAAGTAGAGAAGTCTGCACATTACATATTTTTGGTTGAGTTTTTGGACCACTGGACATAGGACAACCTAGTTTAATTAAAAACAAAAACTACAAATTTCTCAACTTTAATCCCCCCCCCCCCCCAAACCTGACGCTCAAAATGGTGTAACTTTTTACCATTTTTGGAGACTATATTGAACAGTTTAAAGTCAAAAGATAACTTTCACTTTGGATCTGGAGGTTTAGTACTTATTGCACCACACCACCGACTAGAATCACAACTAGTGTGGATTAGGAAGTTCTGTCTACTCAGGATTCAGAATTTTTTTAGTAATAAACACCGCTTTGTGATACTCATCTCTCTAATCAACAGCCAAAAATAAATAGATTAATCGTGCATCGTCAATTGACAAAACTATACAGAAGACCCACAAAGTGTACAGTATTTGGAAGCGGAAGTTGCGTTAAAATATGTTCCAACATTAATGATAGACTTGATTGAAGAAGACAGTCATTTTTGACAGTGCAATTATAGTTAGATTAGTATACTAATGATGTCTGTGAATTCTAGCACTAATCACAGTGGTGGTAAACTAGTGGTATTTAGAAGTGTGTTATTAATTGCATATAATTGCTAGTGGCAGATGTTGATGAATATTGCTTGGGAATTTGCAACTACAGGAAGAAACAAATTTTCATCTTCCTATTAGAAAGTTTTAACTTTCATCCATCAAGCAGAAAAGATGAGGTTAATTTTACCTAATAATAATTTTTCAAAATACAGTAGGCTATTTTAGAAGTTAAGTACCTTTTTGGTTGTATCCTAGGGGAAGATTTTATTTCAAAGGGACGTTATGTTACTTTTGTAAATATTCAAAATGATCACCATCATGGTGGAAGGAAAAAACATAGGTGTGCTATTCCCACATATTCTGACGTCACTCGGATTGCAAACAAAAGATCAACTGATTGTAACTGTTAAAATAAGTATGTATTTGTTTTGATTAGATTGTTATTGTTTTTATAAAAATAAAAACAATAACAACCAAATCAAAACAAATATATATACTAATTTGACAGTTACAATCAGGTGATCTTTTGTTTGCAATCCGAGTGACGTCAGAATATGTGGGAATAGCACACCTATGTTTTTTCCTTCCACCATGGATCACCATGGCAGCAAAATTTACTCGAACTAACTAACATGTGATTCTAGTTATACATAATTTGTAGTAGCCTATATTTCATAACGAGAGTAGAAAGTGATTCATTACATATTTGACACCATATGTTTCAAATGCGAGATTTATTGAGCACTTTAAATATGGTCTAGAATTAGAAAATTTATAGACCCACACCCACTTTCACTTGTGTTTTGATTGTTACTTTTCGCTACACTACAGATATTTTTTCTTAATAAAAACAGAAATTGAATATATTTATTACAGTTAGGAACAGTACAAAGCTCATAGCATTTTTTAGATTATGCCTTTAATTTAAAGTTAATATTTACATTGATAGTGCAGCTTGCATATTTTTTATTTCAATTGGAGTTCCGGCATATAGGGTAATAGGAGTCTATTGATTGGCTGATCCAACAGTGATGTCATGACTTTGGGTAGTTTCTCAACTTTGCTACCCTAATATTTATTGAAAATATCGATTTGATTGGTAAAACCTTTATTCGATGTTTGCATTATCAGCAAGTTTAGTTAGTTAGGTTAGGTTATAACAGTTTCATTTTATAATTAAAAATATTGAATATCCGCATTGATCGGCCATCTGTCAGTGTTGGATCAGCCAATCAAATGACTCCATTCGCCCTATATGCCAGAACTCCAATTGAAATAAAAATTATTCGTACAGCTTTGGTTGTTGCAAATAGAAACAGTGGACAAAACAATAACAAATCTTTGTTTGTTTACATCGGCAAAATAAAAAAAAAACCCGCCGCAGCAAACCTGCCGTCTAAGCGAATTTCCATTTGCCTGAAATGATTTTCAGTTAATCTATTTATTTAATCCATTTATTATTTAAATAACATTAGGTTTAACAAGTACCTAGGTTTGCTGCAAAAGGAAACTATTAAAGTGTGTTTCTTAAGTAAAATAATTTTAGCTTAGTCTAAAATCAATAGATTTGCCAAGTTTGGTCAAAATATATCCATAAACAAGCAAACTACAAGATTTTACAATATTATCCATAAGAATAACATTAGAATTTTAAATTTGCAATTTTTTTTAGTTTTCTCTGTAACCATTATAACCGTGCAAAAACACTCTGATATACTGAATTATTTTTTTACACTCTTTAAGAAGGTCTAGAGATATTGGGAAATTTTACGTTTTGATGGTCAAAAATGAGAAACCCCAATTTTTACCTCAAAACACCCCGTTCCCATGTTTCGATCATGATGGTTCGCTAAAACATTCAAGTTTATCCCGCCTTAAACCTTCAAACCAAATTTTATCAAAATCGACAAAATTTACTCAAGTCATCGTGTTAACGAACACATTCATATATAAATCCCAAAGTACCCATGAACTTTTGAGAAAACCACAAGTCACACCCCCATAAACCATATACTTAAATTGTTCGCCATGATGAGAAACCTTGCGCAAAACAACACATTATTTCACAAATTGCCCTTTAAGGTCGTAATTCCTTTCTAAAAGGAACTTTCCATAAACCTAATGTTAAAAATACCTCAGCTGTACTTATTTATTTTTTATTCTTTCTATTTATTACCTTATTAAAATCAGGTGTGATTTGTTCTGTTTTGTTTATTTCAGCTTAACTTAACCTATTATATTAATATTACTTTCATATAATAAACATTCTTTATCTGTAGAAAACAATGTAATGATGAATTTTTGCAGGTGTAAAACATATAATTAAAACAGGTCATTTCACAGTAGTATAGCAAAATAGTATATTCCACGATAAGAGTAGAAAGTGAGTCATTACATATTTATGTTTAAAGTGTAAGATTTATTGAGTTATGGATGTTTCATTCGTTTATGGTCGAGAATTTGAAATGAACTCTACTCTCACCATCGATATATAAACACAATGGATCCCACGCTTTTTGTGAGCGTGTTTTCTATTAAAATAAAGTACTAACACCCCAATAAATATTGGCGGTGGTCCCAAGTCAATTCCTTAAAAAATGTGCATAAAAATGTATGTGATATATATATATTTTTTTTATTTGTCCAATGTTGGGAAATGCCGCCATATAAAATCGTGGTTTTAGGGGGTTCTCCGTGGACCGATTTTTGAAAACTTTTAGTATGTCACTCTGCACACCCAACACTACAAAATAAAACAATAATACATTTTCTTGCAATTATTTTAAGGTCATATCCTATATTTCTCTGACCATTATGGGTTGCCATGTTGGTGATGAAATAACAACAAAATATAAACAGAAAATCAAAACAAATGGAATTATAATCACATGTTTTATTTACAGCGTGGGGTGAAAACAGATAAGTTTGCACAATATATGTTGAGTTTTCGACCACGGCGCGAGCTCTCGTCTAAACTGATTCCAGGGGCCCATTTCATAATAAACTACAAACTAATATTATTAGTAAACCAGCTGATCGCCCAATGCAAATCTAATGGAAATTACAAGTTACAAGTTGTAACTTGTAACTTGTAGTTTATTATGAAATGGGCCCCAGATTGTTAGATAGAATGAGAAGTCTACTTGTATAATCTATAGTCAATGTTGACACCAATCCAACAGCCAGGATTGACTAATACGTGTCACATGAATTAATAAAAAAAAAATACTCAGTTAACTTATAGGTCACCTTTAAAAACCAAACCCTTTTGCAAAACAACTTTATTTTACAAAACTCCTATTTACACAAAATAAATAACAGGTAGTTAGATTATCACAATTCGCTTAATATTCTATATTACAAGCCTACCTGTAAAATTAAAATGACTTAATAGGAAACTTACATAGCCTACATTAAATTATTCCAATCATAAACTCTGTGACAGTTATTTAATTAAATGTATTCAATCCGAACAATATTGCATTTGTAAAATAATTTGTTTATATGTTAAACTTCAAATATTCAATCAGAACTAATTTCTTCTAATCTAAAATAAAACTCTCAAATTCAATGTTACTCTTAAATATTATCCTTAGCAATATTTGGAATGTAATGAGAAACATAGAGTAACTAACTTTTCATAAATATTAACTTTCCAATATAACAGCCAAAACTTCTCTTGACAAAACATACCAGTTTGGCAAAATCATGTACTATTTTTGATAAACTTATAAATAAATATTCATAATTTCACACACTTGATGATAAACGTTGATTGACATCAAGGTAAACAAATCAAAATGTTTCACATCTTATCTGAGGACAGGTTAACAAAGTACAATAAACAAAGATTTTGCTTGTTATACCTTACATGATTAATCAATAATCAAATGTTAAAAAGTAAAAGAAAGATAATAAAACAAAATATGAATCATCTTGAATTCAATAAGACAGTATATTATGTAGGACTTTTTTAAAGGAATAGAGTTCAGCTAGATTACCTGAGCTACACAATAATAATAGATAATAGATACACATTAGAAGAACATTTTAACGACAAAACAAGCTTATGTTGGTATTCCCGGTTTTTCCTTACTTTGTTGCTAATCAGTTGATATTCATTGTTGCACAGTTGAGTGAAAATTTAAAAACGTACGTTTTCAGGAAAAGTACTTTTAAAATTTCTTGTTCCGTTTTTTGAAAACTTTTTTTATTTTTTTAATTTCATTGACATTTGAAGTTTCATAAAATGTCCATGGTAACGCAATATCTTTGGTGATTTTTTATTAATAGAGCATCTTTGATGGAAAAACACGAAATTATGTCACGACCATCACGGACATCAAACTGAATATTAAAAATAGTTAATATTATTTTTGTAACTATGTTTTGCTATTAATTAATTTACTTATATGACCATCATACAATAAACAGCTCACTAAGCTTTTGGTATATATGGTCTTTCTAGAAAAAAATAAAAAACTCAAAAAGTTGAAAAAAAGCCAATAAAATCTTTTTAAGTTTGTATAACTCCGAAAAAACTTACCTGAGACCCGAAAAATCGTTATGTTTTTATAGAGGTGTACTTCTTTTGTGTATAAAACATTGAAATATGATGATATTTTAATTTTTGAAATTTTTATGATAGAAATCATCAACGTGATGGTCAGGGACAAGCGGTACGGTCGTGAATTGTCTGAAAAAAATTAAATCTTTGTAAACAATCCTTCAACTATACTGTTAGTTATAGTAAAAATATGTGTTTCAATTGAACTAAACAGTTCAATTTATAATGATATTTAAGTTATTGTCACGACCAAACACAGTATAATCCATAAGGCTGGATTGGTCGTGAAAAAACCCGCGATGGTCGTGAAACTTTGGTCGGGACATTACGTGTTATTTGGCTCTGTTCTGGCGGTAGACCTGCACCTCATGTTCGAGGATACAAAGTGGACTTCTAGGTTAATGTAGCAATATAAATATCATATCAACAAAAATTAACCCCACGTCTACTTCATCAAATGACTATGTATGGTCATGGACACACCAAAATTACAAAAAACACAAAATTACCTTTATTAATCTTGTAACTACTTCTTTCAACACAAAACAACCGGCACAACAAACTTGACGTACACCCCGAACTAGTCTCTAAAACGAACTGACGCAATCGACGCCAGGCTTGCCACTGTCGTGCTCCAAAGTTGAAAATTTTTCCCAAATGGTCGTGACGCCAAATCGAGGGACAGACTTATTTTGTCATGGTAGTCAGTTTGCAATGACACTAAAATTATAATATGCTCCTTTTTTGTAAGTTTAATAACTATTGATGACATAAAAATATGGCTTGATATATTTCGGCATAAATAATTAGTCTAAAAACAGCGTGAAAGTTGGAAAATGTACCCTAGGGAATCGTCATGGTCGTGAATTTCGAGACTTTAAAAATACGAAAAAAATACCTAGAACCTACTTAAAACCAAATAAATGTGTGTAACATGTTGCCCCCGTCCCAAAAAATATTAAAATACATAATAATTAACTACAAATCCAGTATCTACGAAGTAAAAGGCCAGGGACATGAAAACGTACGTTTTTAAATTTTCACTCAGTTATCTATGAGGTTTGGTTTTATTTTGAATATATTGTAAATAATACTCAACATGATGATTCCTTAACCCTCTCTCTGTTACATGCCGGTGTTCCGACGCATTTAGCAAGTGTTCACTTAAACGCTCACCGTTTGCATAGTTTGCATAATTTCTGCATAATCTTTTCACCATTTGAAAGTAGAAATAGTAGTAGTGGGGACAAATGAAAACTTCAATAAATGAAAATTATTTATAAACAAATTTGGGTTTCTATGCAGAATATTTTTTTTAGTACCAGGTTAGTGTCATAATTATTATATATTAGTATACTCCTAAATTTGGTGAACAAAATTATATATAATGGTTTATATTTATTCCTAATAATAAGTCTAAAAAATTGTAAGTAAATGAACCCTGCAAAATTGCTAAGATCCGGGTGACATTTAAGGAACTTTTTTGCGACAGAGAGAGGGTTAAGCTTGAAAAGTTAGATGAATACGTTAAAAGAAGTAAAGAGAACAGGGAAACCAACATTATAAGCTGGTTTTGTCGTTTAACAGTGTCTTAGAGTACTTGTATTGTACTATTTGGGTTGCATTAAAAACAAACACCCTATATTTCATGCCGAAGTAGGACCTCTTCCGAGTAAGAATAAGACATTTCTCTTCGACCGGCTCGGACGTCCTACTTCGTACAAAACATCAGTGCTATGTATTTTGTCCATGTGTTGTGAATCTATCATCCCCCGGACTCTTAATTTTTTCAGGTAAGCTAGCTGAAGTGAATTTCTTTTCAAAAAATTCCTTGCAATTAGTTTTTTTTAAATATTACAATAATATTATGGGAGGTAACTATTAATCAAATTGGTGAAATGTATCTAATTATTATAATATATTTAAACGATTTAAACTACATAAAAATGATTAACAAAAAATGGACAAAAATAATTAAAAAGCAATTGCATACTATTTGATATTACTTCAACAAATTCTAATGATTATCACCGAGTGTTTACAAGTCAAAGAAAGATAATAAAACAAAATATGAATCATCTTGATTTTGGTAAGAATTATGAGTGAATATGAATAAAATTGATTATTATAATACTGATAATTTGTTTGAATAAGGCAAACTATAAAAATATATTAAAATGATAAAATATTGCAATCATTTTTTGTTTTTACTTCATTGATTACAATCCATATGAAACAAAGCACTGGTTATGGATACTTAATTACATTCTATTGCTGTTAAAATTTGTGCTTGACATCTGTGAGCGTCAGATAAGTAATTAAAAATTACGCTAGTTCTATGGTGAACAAAATGGGATGACTTGTTTATTGGACCAGCGGAAAAACGAACAGAAATTCAAGTCTCAAAACTGTAACTTAAAAATCCATTATTTTGTCAATTTTTAAAGTAGCCTATAGTTACACAGTCTTTCACAAACTATCACAGTTCAATGCCCACAGTTTATTTTCATAAGTTGACTCTTGTACTCCTGGGCTTTTAACTTATAATATTGTGCTTCTCTTTCATTTTTTGCACACAATTCTTGTGATACTTTCAATTGTCTCTTTAATTCTTCCACCTCGTTCTGCAGCCTCATTTTCTCGACCTCCGATGCACTTATTGAGGTAACCGGGGTAACTGCAAACATACAATAAATATACAAAGTAGAAATATCTATAAAAGAGGAAGTATGTATGTATGTATATACCCTATGGACTCTGAAACCGGCAAACATACTGTAATGAAACTTTTAGGCGTTATTAAGCATTATTGAAGGATGGTTTGTATGAAGTTTGGTGCAGATCGCTAAAAATTACTCAGCCCCAGAAAAATCTAAATCTATAAAAGAGGAAATATGTATGTATATATATATATATATGTATATACGCTATGGACTCCAAAACCGCTCGACAGATTGTAATGCAACTTTCAGGAATTATTAAGCTTCTTTCTATTGAGTTTTGGTGCAGATCCGTCAAAACCAGGGCTCCGCCCCAGAGGGTTTCAAGTGGACCAATGTCAGGCTTTTTGAACTACAATGTTTACAAATAAATTAGATAGATAGATATGACTAGCTGTTACCTGGCAACTGTTTTGTAGCTTGAATAGTCATAACATGCTGTATTAGTTATAATTTGAAATAGTTCCACAATTTTTCCACAGAGTGCAGCACAGAAAACAATTTTACTTATAAGTCCAAATATATTAAACCCCAATCGCAGCACGCCCGTGCACTCAACGACATTTAAATTCTCCAATAATGTTAAATATGTAAACATAAAAACCTTTGGTAGGTACGCCTAAAACTTATATATTCATTAACCTAATGAAAAAAAAAAAATTATCCACTGGCATTTAAGTAAAATATTAAATTTTTATTTTGGGTATACTCTTTTATTATTCATCGCAAAGAACAAATTACCGTTTAAAATTACTTATTTAAAGAGAATTAAAGAATTTAGTCAGCTGTTTCAACTAAAAAAGTTGGTTCTATGATATACAAAAGCATTAAAAAGTTATAAGATTTACCAACAGGGTGCAGCACTATTATTTTTTTGCATTTATGTAAACAGCTAATTTGAACTAAGCAGCAACAAAAAACTGTTACGGTATACGCAATGATAACTGTCAAAGTAGGATTGTTTACAGTTATCTTTATGTTTTTAATGTCATGAATAATTTGTGATTTTTTGTGAATTCGTAATAATTTATTTTTCTTTATTGTTGAGGGGAAGTGGTAGAACATTATGGCTATGGTAGGTAGATGTGTAATACCATTAGTATACCGTTAATTTAAAGAAGCAAATTTTATCAAAATGTGTCCTCCCCCCATTGCAAACGCAAAGCTTAAGTATAATTGCAATAAGCATTTTAATCTTATATGGCAACCCCGTACGAAGAACGGGTACTCTGCTAGTAAACAATAAAAGGGATGGCAATGCCTTAATATTTTTATCTTTTGTTCTATAGCCACAGAATCTAACATAAATTAATAAGTGAATAATAATTGTGCGTTCTATCTCAGGTATTCAAATGCCTCCAAATTTGTCATTAACCCACCACATTACTGTAAAAAAAGGAACTCCTATAATACTAATGCGAAACTTAAATCCACCCAAGCTGTGCAACGGAGCCAGACTGACAATTACAAAAAGAACACCAAACTTGATCGGAGCAACAACCATCAGTGGTAAGTTTAAAGGAGAAATAGTCTTAATCCCAAGAATACCAATGATTTCATCCGAATTACCATTTGAATTCAAGCGGCTACAATTTCCTTTGCGTCTTGCTTTCAAAATCACCATTAAAAGGCACAAGTGCAATCCCTGACTATGAACAGCTGTTTTAGTATGCAATTAATACAAATTATTCGTCTGTTTGGGTAAACACATGATACACACAAGAGCGTTCTTTTTCAAAGTGTGCTCTTTTTCAGTTTTGATAACTGGAGTGGAGTGAATGATTACATTATCTTTAAGTTGACTCTTTTAAGTGATCGGAAATTATGACTGTTATTTATTTTGAAATAACGCCTGTAATACATTGCAATTGCTCGGCTTCGAGCAACAGGTGCGCTAGTTAAAAAATAGTTGTTAGCGCAGCAACGCGTGCCGGATAACTGCTAGTACAGTATATTATAAAACATTAAAATAAACAACTTTTTTGAAAACTGGTTAGCTATTTGTTTAGACCTAATGTGGCTTGCTCATGAGTGTAACAAAGGATAAGTAGCTCAGGGTCGCAAAAAGCCTACCATATACAAGCGGAAGTGACTCTCAGTAAGTTGTTTGTAATTAATTTATAACTAAATTCAAGACTTGTGTATTATTTTAGATAGATTTCAGATATTGGATGGATATTAGATACTTCAGAATTTTGTAGCATGCATGGACTGCAGTTGTAGCGGTCGTCACCATCTATGGGAGTTGAGCGTTGTGTGGTGGACGATGTCTATAAGCGGGAATTTTATAATTTTGAGGCAAATTACAAAAACGGGGAGATACATTTAACAAAACTTGTTATTATAATTTATTACAATTAAGCTTTGTTGTACTTTTACAACATTTTACATCTAGATATCTACCCTATAGACTCTAAAACCGCTTGACAGATTGTAATGAAACTTTCAGGCACTACTAAGCATTATTCAAGGATGGTTTGTGTGAAGTTTGGTGCAGATCTGTCAAAAGTGTCAAAAATTACTGTCGTTATAAGAAGGAACTCCAATATTGCTAATTCGAAACTTAAATCCACCCAAGCTGTGCAACGGAACCAGACACTGTGTTTATCCACTGACAATTAAGTCAAATAAATACCTATTCTATTTTTGTTTTTTATATGCATTTTTATTATTTATCATAAAGAACAAATTACCATTTAAAATAATAGTTGTTAGCGCAGCAACACGTGCCGGATAACTGCTAGTTTCCAATAAAAAAGATAGGGATCTTTGTTCTTGCTGCTTTTCAACTAAAATTAACTCATTTTTGTACATCACATGGTGTAAAAACTTAAAACATTCAAACAAGTAACAAAATCAATGCCATCTGTATTTTCATAGACAAAAAGAAATAAATGTTCCAACAAATTGAAATAATACTTAAGAATACTGAACAGATAATATATTACGAATAAATTATATATTAGTTCTTCTAATATCTCTTGTGGCTAAAATAACTGCCAATGGAATTTTTATGATGCATATGGTAAATTTGAATCCCCGTTGTGATGAAAAAGGTTAGCCTCTCAAAGTCCAACCCCACGTCCACGCCGTGAGAGGTGGGCAATGTCCCAAGTAGGAAACAAAAGGGCGGCGAACGGGGCTCTGGTGAAGCTTTGTTAGGCTCAGCAAGCCAACAGTGGATTTTCATTTGCTTTCAAGAATAGGCCTCGGAATGATGGAATAAATGGAACTGACAGGAAAAGTTTAAGGTTAAGATTTGGAACATTGAATATACTAATAATAATAAATAAGATAGAAGAATTAGTCGATGTAATGAAGGGTAGGAGATTAGATGTGCTGGTTCTAAGTGAAACAAAGTGGAGAGGACATGGTGAATGGCAATTACATGATGGGTACAAACTTTTTTGGAGTGGGAATAGAGGAGGAAGAAATGGTGTCGTTTTCATAGGAAATAAAGAAATCAAGGAAAGAATTGAAGAGGTGACCTACTTATCAGATAGAATGATCAGTACGACAATTAAGATGAAGGCAGAGAAGTGTGTTATAATGCAAGTGTATGCGCCACAAGCGGGTTGTACAGACCAAGAGAATGATGATTTTGAAATTGAGTTAGAAGAACATTTATAAAATGTCAACATCTTAATGGGGGATTTGTAAGCTAAAGTGGGTAGGGATTGGAGAGGATATGATGAAGTGTTAGTTGCTTTTGGATATGGACCACGGAATAAAGAAGGCGAACGCCTATTGGATTTGTGTGCAAGAAATGGTTTAGCGATAGGAAATAGTAAATTCCAGAAAAGGGAGAGTCATGTAGTCACGAGATATAGTTGGGATGGAAATCAGAAAAGTGTCATTGATTACGTCATTGTAGATGGTTTGGGGAGAAAAGTTGATTGATGTAAAGGTGATACTAAGTGTAAACATGGAAGGAGATCATAGATTGTTAAATAGGAACCTTAAATGGATTAGTAGTCCAAAAAGGTGGAAAACAGGGGAAATTACTAGGATAAAAAGCTAGAAGCTACAACAGAAAGAAGAGTTAGAAAAATTTCAAATGATTGTAAGAGAGAATTTACCAAACAATGAAATTGGTGACGTTGTAGCGGAATGGGAAAGTTTTAAGAAAATATTGGTAGGATCTACTGAAGAAGTGTGTGGGAAAACAAGGGGTAAGAGGAAAGAGAAGACTACATATTGGTGGAATGAAAGAACAATAGATCCAGTAAGAGAAAAGAACAGAGCATTAAGGAAATGGTGGTAGAGTAAGGATCAAAAGGACAAAGATATATACAATGAAAAGAGGTGTGAATGTAGCCGTATTATTAAAGAAGAGAAAAGAAAAGCATGGGAAAAGTTTACCAGCAGGCTAGATACAGATTGATGTGATTGATTGATGAATTGATGAAAAACCAGAAGAGATTGACAGAAAGTGCTGAACACATGGAAGATGAGAATGGAAGACTGGTTGAAAATGGAAAGAATATTAGAAACCTTTGAACCTTAGAAACATTGTTTTAAAGACTTACTAAACTCGGGACTAGAAAGTGATGAGATAGTAGAATCCTGAAACGGGAACAATTTGATGGAATTAGAAGAGATAACATGGAATGAGATTGAAAATGCAGTGAAGGGGATGAAGAATAATAAATCAGCCGGACCAGATGAAGTTACAGTTGATTTGATTAAAGCATTGGGCCCTGTAGGGTTACATTGGTTGAAAAGGTTGTTTATGTGTATATTGAAGGAGGGAAAACGCCAGAAGAATGGGGAAGAGTGACATAGTGACATTGTTTAAGAAAGGTAGTAAAAGAAGATGTAAGAATTACAAAGGAATAACATTAATGTGCCAAGTGGCAAAGATTTTTGAAAAGGTGATTTTAAGTGGAATAGGAGATTATGTTAAAGATAAGTTAAGTGAGGAACAACATGGTTTTTGGAGAAATATAAGTACAATAGATTTAATCTTTGCGGTAAGACAGCTGATAGAGATGCATTGGGAATTCGATCAGAAAATAATATATGTTTTTATAGATATTGAAAAAGCATATGACTCAGTGAAGAGAAGTGCCATCTGGGATAGCTTAAAAGGTATTGGAATGGAAGAAAAGTACATTGAGTGGATTAAAGAATTGTATAGGATTCACAAGTGCCGTGTCAGAACAGTTGCATGGTATACCAGTTGGTTTGATATAAGGAAGGACTGAAACAGGGAAGGAGGGAAGTATTTTGTCACCGATTTTGTTTAATGTGCTAATGGAAATAATGTGGACAGAAGTCAGAAACGTTGGGGGAAATGTGGGAACTATGATGTTTGCAGATGATATAATGCTGTGGGGAAGAAATGAAGGAGAGTTACAAAGACAGCTGAATAAATGGGCAGAGGTTATGAGAGTGAGGGGACTAAGGAGTAAGGAAAAGAGTGAGGCGATGGTGATCGGAAGAGATAGGATGTTGGAACAACCTTTAAAAGTAGGAGGACACTCAAGTTAGTTGAAAAATTTACATATTTAGGCTAGGTGATTTCGAACGATGGAAGTACGGCGCAAGAGGTGACGGCGAGACTGGGGAAAGGTGCAGGATTTTACCAAAGTATTAAACATCTAGTCTGGGATAAGGATATACCAAAGAAAGCTAAAGTTACCATGTAAAAAACGTACTATATATCGATAGTTACCTATGGTGCTGAAGTTTGGAACATAACAGAGAGGGAATGGAGTAGGGTCCAGGCAGGGGAGATGATGTTTATAAGAGGGATAAAAGGAAAAACAAGATTAGACAGAATGAGGAATGGAGAGCTGAGAAGAGGAATAGTTGAAGAAAGTTTGAGAGAACAAGTAGAGAAGACGAGATTGATATGGTTAGGCCACGTAAGAAGAATGGAGAATGAAAGAATCCCGAAAAGAATGAGTGAACTCCGAATGGATGGAAGAAGACCAAGAGGAAGACCCAGAAGAAGGTGGTTTGACGAGGTGAAATGTGATGTGGAAGCAAGAGGAGTGCAATGGCACTATGTGGAGGAAGTGGAATTGTGGAAGGACAGAAGAAGATAGAGAGGCCTAGTGAACACCCAGACCCGAAGATAATCGGAGCGGGAGAGTATATGTATGTATGTATGTATGTATGTGTGATGATAAATATCAATCATTGTACTGAAAGTGATTTACCGGCACTTGCTACAATTATTCCCGTCCTCAGCTTCAACTCGTACACAAAAATCACTCACACGATCATTTGAAAAAAATTTTGTGACAGCTGGTCCTTATTGATGGGATAACAACTAGAGTCTGGTCCGTATAGATGGAATGACTAATTGAGTTTTAAAAATTGTAGAACACAAACCAAACTAACCTTGACTTCCATCTTCACTATCTAAGTGGTCTTCCAACAGCCTATCAAGGCTGAGCGTAGAAGAGTTCAGGTCCAGTGGTTTCTCTACTACTGACGATGTTAAATGTGTCTGGTTGTTGATGGTTTGTTTTGTAACCAACACTTCCACTTTCTTACCCGCCATTGTGACCGGCCTCTGTGTTTGAACGTTGCCCTGAAAAAACAAATATCGTGCATTCATTGAGCTCGTATCTAAAACCCACAGAATGATTGTGAGCATTTCTCTTACCTTGTAAAGTGTCGTTCCTACTAAATGTTAATGCCAAGTCAACTATAATTCTAAGTTAGGCATCACTTTTCAATGTTCACAAATTTCTATAGTTTATTTGTGAACCGAGTAAGGCAGGAGGATCAAATTAATGTTAAAAGAAAAGTTAAGCATATTCTCATTAAGTAGTTTTGCTATTAGTGATCACGACCACACTAATAAATGGAAACAAACAAAACAAGGAATAGTTCCTTAAGCAAGGCAGATGTTTTCCCTATTTAGTGAAATAAGTACATTAGGTTAAATAAGTACTTTAGTTTGCTGCAACAGCTGCTTAAGCTTGCAGCCAATATAGCCTCTAGTGTAATACCCGTTATAGTTCATCAATGACAGGAATATACTTACTCAAATAAAAATTTGATCATATCATTATATCACACAATCTAGACAGAATACGTAAACACAGTTTGTGTGACCAATGATTTTAGTACACAGTTCTTTGAAATTCAAATTCTTTTTTTGTGGAGCATGCCCTAAGGCGCGAGCCTAGTTTGCCTGTACAGTAAACTCCCGATTATCCAATGGATTGACTGGCGTGAATACTGCGGATAATTGAATTTCGCGGAGAAGCCGCAAAATTGCCAGTAATGGTTAAACAAAGGTCAAGTCCACTTTAACTAAGGCGTGTAAGTAATTGGTTAGGCTTGTACAGTTACGATTACGATGCGTAGGCCTAATGCCTAGACTGCTAGGCCTATACAGAAGTTCAGTTATAGCTGGCACTAAAAAACAAAACACAAGTGCGTTTATAATACAATAAAAGGACGTACCTGATAACAAAACTTAATAAATGTCATCCATATTATTGATGAAATTTAATGCAAATTAAATGTCACTATCGTTTGCACTAACGAAGCAAACAATTTGAACGATTGAGTTAAAATGAACTAATGCTGTAGTGATGCGCGTATTGAGGGAAAGGGGGAGGGTAAGTCAACAATGGCAGACAGGGCGAATGACCATGCTTGTGCAGATTATTACTGATCACATGATTCACTCGCAAGCTAAGTAAACAAAGATCTACAGTGCTGCTGGTTGCCAGGGCCGATTTACCAAATAGGCACGGTAGGCACATGCCTAGGGCACGAGGCAATTGGCTTTTTTGGGGGGCGCCAAAATTTTGGAAATTAAAAAAAAAAATTATGGTAGTATATGCATGCTATCACGGTAAACTTCTGATAACCCCTCGCGGCCGTGTAGGCATCGTAATCGTGTCCCACGTTTGCGGCAAGATTCTTACTACTTTCTGCAGTCAGGTCGTTTGGACATAAAATTATCGTCTTCCATGATCGAGGCAATATATGAACGTATCCCGCGGTCGTGAGGAGATTATCATCGTGTACCGCAAATGAGGCAAAATTCTGATATTTTCCCGCGGTCGTGAGGACATCATCCTCGTCTTGCGCGATCACGGTCAAATTCTGACCACCCCTTGCGGCCGTGAATACATCATATCGTCCCCCGCGGTCGTGTGGACATAGTAATCACCTCCCGCAATTGTGGCAAAATGGTAATCATCTCCCTCGGTGTTGTGGAGATCATCATCCTCTTACGCAAATTAGGCAACAATTTGACCTTTTCCCGCGATCGTGTAGCCATTACCATCGTCTTGCGCGATTGCGATAAAATTCTGATCACTCCTCGCGGCCGTGAAGACATCATTATATCGTCCCAGTCGGTCGTTTGGACATAGTAGTCGCCTCCCGCCATTGTGGCAAAATGGTAATCATCTCCCGTGGACATATGGAGATAATCGTCTTCGGCGAATGAGGCAAAATTCTGATCTTTTCCTACGGTCATTTGGACATTGTCATCGTCTTGAGCAATCGCGGCATTAATGTGATCATCCCTCGTGGCCGCGTAGAAATCATTATTGTATTCCGTGGTTCTGTAGACATCGTAATCGTTTCCCGCAGTTGTGAAGACATCGTTATCGTCTCCCGCGATTACGGTAAAATGTTAATAATGTCCTCCAGTCGTGTGGAGATCATCATTGTCTTCTACGATCGCGGCAAAACTCTTGCTGTTTCCCGCGGTCGTGTGGATATTATCATCGTCTTCCGTGATCGCGGCAATATTCTGATCATCCCTCGTGGCCGTGTAGAAATAGTTATTGTATCTCCCGCGGTCCTGTAGATATCGTACGTATCCCGCAGTCGTGAATCCATGGTAATCGTCTCCCGCGGTTGCGGCAAAATTTTAATCATGTCCTGCAGTTTTGTGGAGATCATCATCGTCTTCCGCGATCGCAGCAATGTTCTTGAGGTTTCCCGCGGTCGTGTGGACATCATCGTCTTCCGTGATTGGTGCAATATTCTGATCATCCGTTGCGGCTCTGTAGATACCATCATCGTCTTCTGCAATTGCGGAAAATTCTGATCATCCCTTGCGGCCGTGTGTAGACTTATTATTGTCTCCCGCGGCCACGGAAACATCACTGTTGTCATGCGCGATTACGGTAAATTGAAAACTCCAGGTAGAAATATAAAATTCACGGTTCAAAAATCTCCCCCATGATTCCCGGATTTCCCGGTCGGTGTACACCCTGTTATATATATTATTATATTGCAAAGGGGCGCTACTATTAGACGTGCCTAGGGCGCTGACAGGGTCAAAAACGGGCCTGCTGGTTGCGCCCAAAACTGCTCAAGTACACACCATGTATAGTGGATACCTGTACAGTAATACTATGTAGGAATGGTGTGGATCTACTGTACAGTAATACTGAACTACTTTACACGTTTTGTACTGTACATTATTAAGTGTAGCCTACTGTACTGTTTTTGTGATTTAAGATTTTTATTTGGGTTTTGTATTTAGTAACTTTATTTAAATTATGTTTTTTTTTTACCTACATGCACTGCGGATAATCGAGAGTTTACTGTACTTAAATCCAACCCTGCTACATTCCACCAAGTCGTAGCGTGTCCATTACAAGTCTATCAAGCCGCAGCCCAAAGGGAAATATAGTTAATACCACCACTAGACTTACCACGACAGCTGGTTTTAACTTCTTGTCAGTGTGTATGATTTTGACCTTCTGCGAGTTCTTCATGTTGATCAGCTGATCGGGTCGTATCCTAATCACTCTCTTGCCATTCAACAAACCCTGGGATAGCTTCAACATGGTCATGGGTGTTGCAGGTTTCAGAGTGGTCGGCTTTTCAGTAAGGTTCAACGCCATTTTCCCTGCCTCTGTAAGTTGGTGATTTTTTTTAAATAACATAGTGGAGTCACTTTCAGCAAAGTGTTACCAACTATTATGAACAAAATAGTTGACTGATGAATTCAATAATCGTTTACCAACTAACTATGCAATAGACAATATTCTTTATTAACATGTTTATTGAGAACAGCACAGTGTCATAGGCAAGGGCGGTTACAGGGGGTGGGGGGGTCAGGGGGTAGTGACCCCCCAAAATATTTTTTATATAGATAAACTATTATACCAGGGGAACTTTAATAATTTTTATTGCAAATCGTTTTACCAAATTGAAATTCATTGTAGTATTTACACTTGTACAAAAGGACTAATTACAAACTCTAACCTACCTAGATGATCGAAAACTTGAATTGGGTATTGGATAAAGAAAATAAGTTGTATCAATAGTCAAAGCTTGAAAGGTAGTTGAATAATAATTTATCTGAGCTTGTTATGAATTTGTAATTACAGTAATGTAATTCAATGATTACCGCAGCAAATTTCAAAACTTTCAATATCAAATAGTATTCATATTTAGAGCACCTGACATCATAAGAATACCATAACCCAATTGGCATGTTGTTAGCCACAAAACAACAACAAAATGGTAGTGTCTCAAACTTAGATGCGGACGGATTTAATTCCCGGCACAACCACAAAAACGTTGCCCAAAAACTTTATTCTCACGTTAACCCCTTGTAAATTGTATTTATAGTATAAATAACTTATATTTATACTAGTGAAATGTAAGGGTAAAGTTCGTTTTTTTTACCCGTTTAGTACTACTTAACGGTTTCGTAAGTAGTAGTTGCCGACGGCAACATTAGTTGGGTAGTGTACTTTGTGTAGGTTAACTGTTGCTTACTGGGCAAGTTTAATGCAGTCGTGTTGGGCGCAAGTTCTAAACACTTCTTAGATAAAATAAGTTCTCTCTGGTTCGAAATCTTGGTCTGATTTTGGACATTTTCTGTTTAGCATGCAAATCGGCACCAGTTGAAATGGTGTTTTCGTAAGTCAATAATGCTTGAGAATGTGTTGTAATGTTGCGGTATTCCTTTGATATTAAAACCACAAGTCTCAATAATGCAAAAACATGACATAATACAAGTTTATTTTTAGACATTTCTTTGACCTTTAAATAAACTGGAAACTTTGATCACATTAAACTCGGTCCTCAAAATAGCTTAAAAAAAATTTTGCTCTTTTGTAGTATGGTTATTGGTTTTCTCAGTAAGAGAGCTTGTGGATTGGAAGACTAAAGTCTGATGCATGGCTGGTGCAGAGGCGGATTTATAAATATTTCACCCATAGGCACTATTCTTAGTGCCGCCCCTTCATAGTATATTTCGTACCTAGGACTGAAAATGAGGTTTTGCCGGCTCAAGATCGTTTTTTTTTTAGTTCAAGGCGAAGTCAAGAGCCGCAAAACCCTTTCGGCCCGTCGTACGAACGCCATTTTTCACCACACTATACAAAATTGAGGGTCTTGAGTTGTCATTTTCACGCAATAAATACACATTAACAGTTAACACAACTACATATTTAAGGTTATGTGAAGAAGTAATATAGAGGAACCAGCAAAAATACTAATAAATAGGGTCTAGGCAGCGGTGACATAACATGCATATAGATACTGCTTAAGTATATTTAGTATACATTGATGTTTTAAGTAAGTAAGCGAATAGCTAGTTTTGTGACCCTAGGGCCTTAAAAACCAAATCAGTTCCCAATGACGATGTCAGCTGCCATTTCGGTCCTGGACAGCAATTACGTAGCTTTCAGCCTCCAATTAACGTTTGTACAACGGCTAAAACATCTTCTTAGTGAGGTGAAAAAGTAATTATTTTTTCAAATATAAACTAAGTCTAACAAGTCCAAATAGAGTGTTTATAAAAAACACTGCAGGTTATTTTTTGAATTTTATTTACAATTATTGAAAAAATCTACCATTTCACAAACTTTAAAATTCCTATTATTGAAATACAGTACAGTACTGATAAAGAAATAAAGACTTTAAATTTAAACTTATATCTTTTTACATAAATATCTTTGTAAAGTCTTCATTCTGTGTCCTTACATTGGTTTCCTACCACTTTTAACCATTGCAAACTCCTATAAGCCTTTTGACTGTCGTTTTCCGTCACTGCCGTGCCGTCGCGGTCTTGCCTATACAGTTGGCGGACTAACGTGGCTGTGGCGGCACCCGGAATCGGCGACACAGCAGCAGTGGTACCCGTAAGCGGTGGCATCCGTAAGCTGCGGCACCCGTAAGTAGCCTAGTGTGCCTAGTGGGAAATCCGTACCTGATTCTTACTCATTTAATCAGGCTGTTTTAACCATTGGATATTACACCTTAACTAAACTTATAGCATTGGCTTAAAATGATGATTCAAGCTAAACGATGATGACACAGAACGAATAAGCTTAACGGATACTGATGGATTATGCCATGGCGCAGTCTACAACAGTTCCCTGTTTTAAAACGAGGAAAAGTTGCGACAAATAAGTATCTGTTGTTTTAAATACTTTTTAATGGCAGGAATATTGGGGTTTGGAAACTACTTTGTACTTTAAAATTTTTTATCTGCCTAAGCCCTGACATTAAAGAGTTTAAATATTCCTTTATGTGGGGTTCGGTGATTTAGAATCTTTAGCACTTACATGTATGAATGACACCAATGTTTAATGCCATAACCTTAGGAGGCCTAAGTTTATAGTATTCTTTCTTCATTCATTTTTTTCTTTAATAATTTCATCTTTACCCTTTGGCTGTCGTTTTCTGCCACTGCCGTGCCGTCGCGGTTGCGCTTACAGTCGGCGGACTGTGGCAGCAGCGGCACCCATGAGTGGCGGTACCTGTCAAGGACTGTACTGTAATGAGTTTTACCGGACACCAATCCGCTGATTATACTGTATTTAGGTGGCAATGAGTGGTTATAAACAAAAACATAATCTCTCTTAGAGGTTATGACTAGTGATTTTTAGTCCTTTAGGATTTGTACAGATTTAGAAGTATGGCGTAAACTATCGTACGTAACTCGTCCAAAGTGTGTGTACCGAACTCGCATGGTAATCCCGTGCGAGACACCACACTCGTCTGGTAAACACTTATTTTCAGGACTAGTAACGTAATATACTATTACAGCTGTTACATTACCTATGTTATTCCAACGGTTTCTTTAAAATACTGATAATTAACTAACAGGAAAGTACTATAAAAGGTATAAAATTACCTGAGTACTACCAGAGTGATCCTGTTGGTCCTTACGGATTACGCGTTTCGAGGAGCTTAAGTCCTCATCATCAGATCTTGTACAAGAAACACATCTATCACTTCGAAAAGGTCCTCAAAAGTTTAAATACACAACTCGGACACATAATCAATAAACACGTTTTACAATTACGGGTTGGCCTACCGACAAAAACTTGCAATGTCCGACCGCACAGTTTTAGGTTAAAGTCATGACTGCGATACGGGAGATGGGCGGGCGGTGGACTTTGTACTTCTCGGCTCTTTGTTCATCAGCTGTTCTTGGTTTGTTATTAAAGTATCATACAGGATCATAAAGTTGGACTGGAAACTGATTTTGTCGTTTAATAATGTGTTAGGTTGGGTTTTGGTAGTTTTATAAATTTCGAACTCTTCTAAAGCGTCCATAACGTTGCCTTTATAGCAAAAATGTAGAGAAGTTAAATTTGTGTTAAAATCACTGTAGTTATGGTTTTCATTTACAAGATGAGCTGCAAAATTGGATTTGAGATTATTACTTGCTTTAGGCAAATGTTCTTTAAATCTAGTTTGAAATGTCCTGCCTGTTTGCCCAATGTAAATTTTGTTGCAATCGTCGCATGATAAATTGTAGATACCAGTTCTGTCAGCTGTATTATTTACTCCATTTTTATCAGCACTGCTGAGTAGTTTTTGTAGTTTATTTGAAGTTTTAAAAGCGATATTGATGTTCTTTTTTCCTAATTCGTTTGCTAAAATGTTTGGTAACTAAACTATTACCAAATTCTGAAGCTACAAAAACTTTCCTTTCTTTGGGTTTATCTTCATTCCTATTGTTCTTTTTCTTTAATTCTTTTTTAATTATCTTGTCTATTATAACGGGATCGTAACCATTTTTATGTGCAATGTATTTAATAGTGGTTTTCTCTTTATCAAAGTTTTCAGAGCTAAGTGGTATTGATAGGAGCCGATGAACAAAACTGTTATATGCAGCCATTTTATGATTAACGGGATGAGGTGATGTTTCATGGATTGTAGTATCTGTTAAGGTTGGCTTCCTGTAAATATTGAACGTGAAAAGTTTGTCACTTCGTATGACAGTTAAATCCAGGTAATTGAGTTTATTGTCCATTTCTAGTTCTATTGTAAACTCAAGTTTAGGGTGAATGTTATTAATGTATTTATTAAACAGCTGGAGTTGACTTGTATTGCCGTCAAAAAGTATTGCTATGTCATCAACGTATCGGTAAAACATAATCTTATCTCTATAGCGGTTGTTATCTGCCCAGATATGTTTTTCTTCAAAATCGTTGAGGTATATTTCAGCTAATATTCCTGATAGGGGGGACCCCATTGCTAGTCCATCTGTCTGTGTGTAAAATTTATTATTAAAGGTGAAATAGTTTTGTGTGATGATAAAACAAGATAGCTTTGTTTCTGACTACCAGTTTGTTTTCTTTAGCCTAAGATGTATTGTAAGTTCAATGATTATTGAATAGAACGTGATATAGAGTTGCCTCTAACCTGTCAACATAACTTTCTGGCCGTTCTGCACCGCCGAGGCTACAGTCGTGGACTCATCTGTGGGTAACATTGTGATACCATGGGCTTGAAGCAATTGTAGAGTTCTTTCTGCAATGCAATCTCAAGATCAGAACAGCGGATGTACAAGTTTTGTGGGTAGTCAGTATTTTTCAATCAGGGTGTGCCACAAAAAGGTTTAGACGTTTGATTTTATATTACTTGGCGGTTTTATGAAAATGTTTTGAAACTTTACACAATTTTTTGAGTAGGTTTTGAAAATATGTTGTGAAAATTTCAACTTAGTATTTGTAGAAACAAAATGGTGGCACGTTGAATATTTTACCGATTTGATTTCTATATAAACTACTTTCCTAATTTATTAAATGATTTATTTACTGGGTTGCAGTTTTCATATTTATTGTTGAACAGATGCATTATTGAAAACTATTGGTTAAGCCATAAATGCGTAACCTAACCTTCTCAAGTGTAGTTTGACTGAAATTAAAATCCTAGGATGATTTTTTTAACAAAAAGTGTTAAACGTGGGTTAATTAATGATAAATTTCTTGAATCTTTTTTTCTGACTAAGTCAGCTGATTCTTACCTCGATTATCCAAAGAAAGTTGAGGTACGACTGGAACAGAATTAGGAATCTGCTTCTTTGTGGAAGTCTGCAAACCATTCAGCGTGTTTTCAATAACAAGTTGGTTAGCCAACTTTCTTTGGACTCTCGGCAACTTCAGAATTCTGACTTCCTTTAGTTCTTGACCTTAATAACAAAATAAAATAATTAAAAACCACAGGCATGTTTATTATTATATGCATCATGTCCAGACAGAAATGAACTGTTACAATAAAATTAATAAAATAACTATACCAGGTGTCTGTCTGTCTTTCCATCGAACAAAAGTGGACAAAAATCTAAAACTTTACACTAAGTTGGCTTCTATCCTGTCCTGAGGAATAGGCACATATTTTCTAATGTTCACATCCTAGAATGCTAGGCTCTAGCCCAAACTGTTTTGCACATTCCTTTAGAGTCGTGGAATTATCACTAAGAATAAAATTCAATGGTGATTAATGGGATTTGAACCCAAAACCTCAGGGACCCAAGTTCCACGCTCTACCAGTAGACCAGCTCACTCCCCCGAGGAGGAGGCATATTGGGAAGTTGGTCAGTAAGATGAAGATCATTGTGCCTAGCACTGATTCCTATCATATCTCCTGTATCTGCAGCCTATCTGTGTTTTTGAGATCTGGTATCAAAACTTTTCTGTGGCTTCATTACATTTTAGTTTGTTAACATGACTTACACAGTTTTATCTATTGAGGTATTTGCATTTCAGTAAAAACAGAATTACATAAAACAGAAGACAAAATCTGTAAGTGAGCATAAGAATATAATACTGAATAATTTAAGCACTCCACAACTGTCGGATATTCTTCAGCAACAACTCTGGGTGTACCTACCGCCAATTGGTTTTAATATTTTTTCTCCAGTTGCAGTAACCACTAACTTATTGACTGGCGCTTTGCTGATGGCCTTTTCCGCTTCAAGAGCTGCTTTATGTGCTGCTGCCGCTTGTTTTTGTCTCTCTTTAGCTTCTTTCCTATGAACGTCTCGTAGGGGATTGTCTGAATATTCCTGAAACAAGTTTCATTTGTGAACATTACCTTCTACATTTTATTTTCGAAAAACTATAAAGAGAGTTTTATCCTAACATTAAGAGCTCAAAGTTTGATTTGCCTATTTCAATTTAAAGTCTCTAAATGAAAAGAATAGAACACTAACTAAAATAGATTTAAAACCTGTGCTACTTACTTAAGTGCTACTTACTTAATTAAATTACCAACTGACAAAATCTCTAGATGATGATTGGTGATTGATGAGTCTACATTGATGATGTAGGCTATAGTTATTATTTGCATTGTTCACTAGGGTTTTAGAAGCCCCCATTTGAAAGGGAGATAGATTTGTTACAACAGGTTTTTAAAATACTGTATTAAGTTTGTTTCTTAGGTTAATTATGTACAGTGACATGTGTACAATTACTTTTGAACCTCATAACTTTCAAAAGTGGTATGATCCTCATTCAAATAATAACAACGCCAATTAAGAATAACATAAGAAATTGCAATGCAGATTTTTTTCCAGAAAATCTATATTAGTACTGCACCCAAATAAGTATACTATTAGGTTACAATATTAATAAATGGTTTAATAGTAGTTTATGCAACGATTGCGTAAAGATAGTGTTAACGACACAAGTAGAAAGGTTAAGGTACGAGCCTTGGCAATAGTGATGGGTCAGTACCACTTTTTCAAAGTCGGTACCGGTTCCTAGTCAAAATTGATTCTCGGTTCTCGGTTCTCGGTTCCGGTACCATCGGTACCTTTATTTTAATTTTTTAGGATAGGCTACCTAATTTTTTATTTAAAAAAAAAAATATCCAAACAGTATTTTAATTTTACAGTATTTTGCATTAGTATTAGATTGGTACAAAACTTAACCACCGAGAATTCGTCACCGTGTTGTGTTCTTGTAGTTTCAATGTGACAAATTTGTGTGAATGAAAAATGTTGACTTCCTTTGTCACCCTGAGGGCTGAAACTGTGGTAGTGTATTACTACTCAAAGGGTCACCTGACAGGTAAAGGTATTTAAACCATTTATCAATTAACTGAAGTGATTCGGAGGCTAACATCATGAAAGTTACAATATGATTCAATTATTGTAATTACCAGAACAATTAATTGACATATGTATTACCTGTATGCAGTGCACAATGTCCATTCTGTCATTATCAAAACATATCTGGTCGGGTGTTTTGTCAAATTTGTTCACAGCCATAGGATCGGCTCCATGTTCTAGCAGTAATCTCACACATTCCAAGTGTCCGTTTTCCGCAGCCCAATGAAGTGCCGTCATTTTTAGCTGTCAAGACAAATTACTACAAGTTTAGTGTTAAGATGACTGCGAGGTTTGCACTCTTTTAAGCACTTTTTTTGTCGTGAACTCAGGTGTAGACTAAAGAATGTAAATTATTTTTGTTGCACTTTACTTCTCGATCCGAAATTCCTGACAACCTTATGTTTACAGTTATTAGTTATTCCTATAGATTTTGATTACAATAGAAGCTATGATAGCCCTAGATAATCCAAACACTTTCGAAACACGGACGGTGCCAGGTCACAGAAAATACTAAAATTACTCTTGAGGCTTAAAAAAGTCAATGTCAAAATGCCCATTAGGCCTACAAGCTCAACTGAATGGTGAACCATAGCCACCTCTAATACACAAGGCCGCGATGGTCAAACTGGCAACGCCGCACTTCTTAGTATCAATTATAAGAGCGGTTAAGTCACCGAGCCTAGTGCTATGCATCTAGTCCTTGGGAAATACATTTTGACTTCCTTTTAGTCCAGGAAAAAACTAGGATCAGTAAATCCAAGGCCGGATCAGCGGTTCTACTGAAGTTGATTTTATACTGTTTCATGGTTATCAAGATTCAAATGGCCAATTTAATCCTAAAAAGAGTTTATAAAAACATTGAGTTTTTGGTAGCGGACAACCAACAGTAATAACAGTTTTACTCACCAGAAAACACCATATACTTTTAATTTAAATTTAAATATAGACCTACAACAGCCTACAACTTAGGGTGGGTTCTGAACCACATAATATACAGTAACAAAATCACTACAATGATAACAAAGAAGTTCACAATTAATTTTTCCTGTAGGATAAGATTATGACGGATTTTTATAGATGGGTGGGGACCAAAGCCGTACCTGTAGACAAAATCTAAAAGCTCTCTCCAAATTTAAGAACATTTGTAACCCTATGAGATGTTTTAAATTCTGAGGTCTAATTTGTTAGTGAAAATTCTCTTCTCTTCAAAGATAGGCTTCCACGGTCACAACTGTAGTTTCTATGTCTTCAGCCGACAACCCTATCAAAATGGATCTGTTCATCGATGTTTTGGCCTCAATATAATGTGCCTTTTTAAAGTGACATGAGTTTTGCACGTTTGAATCAAATGAAGCAACTTACGTTAAACTGTGTGCAAGTCAAGTCACCCTGAAGATGGTATTTTTATTTCAAGGTGGAAACATTACTGAACAAAAGTGTTTCATCGATTTGATATAGTCATTGTCTAAAAGACCTCAAATCTACACAAACCTTATTATTTCCATAAGATCGTAAATTATCAACTCAAACTGACCATATCGGTAGCGTCCACGTCCACACCATAGTCCAGCAGGAGCTTCAATATCTTGATGTGGCCTTCTTGTGAAGTTACGTGAAGCGGTGTTCGGTCGACCTTGTTTCTTGCGTCTTTCGATATGCCAGCTTTGAGAAGCAGATCTACCACGTCATAATGGTTGTACTGGCACGCAAAGTGTAGGGGACTAGTACCCAGCTGTACATAAAATCAGGGTTACGAACATTTCAGATTCATTAGACAAGATATTCTCGCCTAGTATTAAAAAGAGACATAAGCTGGGGAGCAAGCTGGTGTAGTGGTAGAGCGCGAGACTTCGGTCCCTAAGGTCCCGTGTTCAAATCCCGCCAAATCACCAATGGGTTTGATCTAAGTGATAATGCCACACCCCCTAGGTCTAGCATGAAGTAATGTAAATAACAAATCCGCGTTCGTGCCAAGCGTCCTAGAACAAAAAACCCAGCTAAACATAAAATCAGGGTTACCAAAATTTCAGATTCATTAGACGAGTGATTCTTGATTAGTATTATATATAAATAAAAAGAGACATAATACGACAGTAGGCTTACACCCTAACTTACAGTCAAAGGACTGGACCTAGTAAAGTTAGTTGGCTTTAGTCAATTTTATGCCACAAAATGAGATAAAACCGTATCATACATGAAAACATCATATTAATTTGCACAATAAGTTACTTTTTATGTATCCCCTTCACGCATACGGTGTGTTATGATATAATCTTCAAGTATTTGTTGCAGTGTACAGTTGCAAAACTGTTTTCTGCATTGTGTTTTTGACCATCACCAATAATTAAAAAAACAATATTTGAGTGAAAATTTAAAAACGTACGTTTTCATGTCCCTGGCCTTTTACTTCGTAGTTATTGGATTTGTAATTTATTATTATGTGTTTTAATATTTTTTGGGACGGGGGCAACATGTTACACACATTTATTTGGTTTTAAATAGGTTCTAGGTATTTTTTTCGTATTTTTAAAGTCTCGAAATTCACGACCATGACGTGTCCCTAGGGTACATTTTCCAACTTTCACGCTGTTTTTAGACTAATTATTCATGCCGAAATATATAAAGCCATATTTTTATGTCATCAATGGATATTAAATTTACATAAAAGGAGCATATTATAATTTTATTGTCATTGCAAACTGACTACCATGACAAAATAAGTCTGTCCCTCGATTTGGCGTCACGACCATTTGGGAAAAATTTTCAACTTTGGAGCACGACAGTGGCAAGCCTGGCGTCGATGGAGTCAGTTGGTTTTAGAGACTAGTTCGGGGTGTACGTCAGGATTGTAGTGCCGGTCGTTTCGAGTTGAAAGGATGAATAGCAAGATTAATAAAGGAAAGATTGTGTTTTTTGTAATTTTGGTGTGTCCATGACCGTACGTAGTCATTCGATGAAGTAGACATGGTGTTAATTTTTGTTTATTAGATATTTCAATTGCTAGATTAACCTAGAAGTCCACTTTGTATCCTCGAACATGACGTGCAGGGCTACCACCAGAACAGAGCCAAATAACACGTAATTTCACGACCAAATTTTCACGACCATCGCAGGTTTTTTCACGACCAATCCAGCCTTATGGATTATAGTGTGTTTGGTCGTGACAATAACTTTAATATAATTGTAAATTGAACAGTTTAGTTCAATTGAAACACATATTTTTATTATAACTAACAGTATAATTGATAGATTGTTTAGAAAGATTTAGATTATTCCAGACAATTCACGACCGTAACGCTTGTCCCTGACCAGCACGTTTATGATTTCTATCATAAAAATTTCAAAAATTAAAATATCGTCATATTACAATGTTTTATACACAAAAGAAGCACACCTCTGTACAAATATAACGATTTTTCGGATCTCAGGTAAGTTTTTTCGGAGTTATACAAACTTAAAAAGATTTTATTGGCTTGTTTTCAATTTTTTGATTTTTTTGATTTTTTTCTAGAAAGACCAAATATACCAAAAGCTCAGGGACCTTTTTATTGTATAATGGTCATAAAAGTAAATTAGTTTATAGAAAAACATAGTTATAAAAATAATATTAACCATTTTTAATATTCATTTAAACGTCCGTTATGGTCGTGACAGGATTTTGTGTTTTTACACTAAAGATGCTCTTTAAAAAAAAAAACTACCAAAGATATTGCGTTACCATGGACATTTTATGAAACTTCAAATGTTAATGAAATAAAAAAAATAATAAAAGTTTTGAAAAAAGGGGGAAAAAATTTGCAAAGTACTTTTCCTGAAAACGTACGTTTTTAAATTTTCACTCATTTACTTGTAAAGTAACAAAAGTGTATACGGTAAACGAATAAAAGAACATGCTACAGTAGAACCCCCCATATCGATAGAACGGCAAGAAGGTCTGATATCGGGAAATCGTCTCCTGTGATCGCAACTACACCCGTGAGTGCAACTTGCAGTCTCCACAACTTAGGTAATCATCGATCCCATAACGGCGGCAACATCCGTTATCTGTGACAGTGGTGATCGTCTGCCACGATTACGACAACATCTACATTCGGCCTTTCGGTTAACCGATTGCCCTCGGTGTTATCACCTAAGACAGGAAACAAGTAGACGGTCGGACATTAGGTCGGATATCCAGTTATTAGGAGTCAGTTATTCCGAGGTCGGATATGAGGGGATCTACTGTATAAGATTCCCTTTGGAAAGTTTACTATCTTTAAGTATTTCTTGTGTGCAGCACTAGCTGAGTGTCAATTTCTTGGAACTGGTAGGCCTAGTCCAGTCTGAAGTTAAATTCAAACTCAGTTAAAGTACTTCAGTTAAAGTTCAAGATGTCCCCTATTACTCAATTAAAACAAAAATTTGATGATTTCTCGGATATGGAATTTAATTTGAGATATATTCACTTAATTGTAATTACGTTATCCAAAATGTTTTTACCCAAGAACCTTCAGTAAGATGCCAGCTTTCATTTCAATTATTGATTATTAAGATCGGACGTACTTAAAGCACGCTGCTGAATCACGAATGACCCAAATTGTTCCGAAAATGGAGTTATTTACCATCGATTTATAGGGAAAAAATTTTGCTTGAAACAAAAACAGTAACCATCAACATCGACGGGGTTCACCTAGTGTACATGATTTTACAAAATTTCACAAAATAAGTATGAAGCTTAGCCCATACTGGGGTACAAGTGGTCACAGTACGCCAGTACGCCTAGTAAGTGTAGAGCAAACTCACCCAGTCAGGTGTGAAGGGAGCACCTTGTTTCATGAGATCTCTCACTGCATCAGCATCTCCTCCCTGAGCCTCAGCCAACAGCTTGCGGCCCAACTCCACGATCGGAGGAAGAGCTTCGGTCTCTACTCTGACCTTAGAGAAAACAGATATCTGTTAACATTCGCTGGTAAGCTCAGCAGTAGGCCTACCATCGTTCTCATTTCACACCTTAGGGATTGTACAAAATGTTTTAAACTAAAACAGTATTCTTACCAGAGACGGATTGATACATATTTCACTCCTAGGCACTATTCCCCTTCATAGACAATTATAAGGTACATACATTTACGTCGACAATTCAAATTTTGAAGTGAGTAAAGCTCACGACATGTTTCGCCTATTCAGATGTTACTTCTATGATAGAGTCGTCAAAAGAAACATTTAAATAAACACACAAACATTAACGCACAAAAACATTTAACATTTAAAGTAGGCCTACTATTAACCGGTCACGGCTCGGAGGCAGATTGGACTTGCTGGAATTATGTAACACTGACCCTTCTCCGTTATTAGTAGGTGTACTTAAAGGTCAAACTGTTCATGTCTATTGTTGTAGGCTATTCTGGTGTTGATAATAGAGTGTGATTTAAATTTAGCAGGTCATTCTTTTCTAAAGAATCCAATGTATTTCCTTTATTACAAATGTGAATAATTTCCAGACTATTGTCAATTGTATCTATGGTGTGATTTTTATCCAATAAATGTTGGGCAAAGGTGAATTTGGCTGCACTTTACTTTAGGTCCTACACTCATTCGAATGAAAATATCGATCGATATATCGAACAATCGATTGTTTCATTCGATATATCGTTTGGTTAGTTAGGTAAGGTTAACCTAACCTAACTAACCAAACGATATATAGAATGTAACAATCGAATAATCGATATTTTCATTCGAATGAGTGTAGGACCTAAAGTAAAGTGCAGCCGTGAATTTTTGTTTGTCTGCCCTGGGGTCAGGGCGAGGTTCTTTAGATGCTTAAGGGTTATACAGGGTGTTCATTTGAAAACTTTCCATATCTGTTGTGTGCAAAGGTAAGGCTTTTAACACTTGTTTGTTCTCATTTCCCCCTAATTTGGACATGCCAAATTCAATAAAATTATTTTCAATTTTGAAAAATGCCCCAAAAGGGCCCAATTTGGGGGGTAGGGGTGCTTTTTGAGAAATTTTCAAATGTAAACATGGGTTGTGTGATACATCAATTTAAAAGTCTAATCACCCCGATCATTTTGGTGCAAAAAAAGTTTAATTATCTTTAACCGTATTTACAGGGTGGGTCAAAACGTTTTAAAAAAGGACTTTGAAGTTAAGTACCGTATTACCCTAACTACTGAACGGAACAGCGCCAAATTTCTTTCCAAGCTTATTCTTGAGCTACTCTTTAAGATAACTTGTAGTAAGGGCATTTTCCAAGTTATTTTCTAATTTTAAAAAAATCTCAAATTTTAAGAATAAAAGAAAGCTGAAAACTCAAAATTCTTAAATAGCAAGGTATAACAAATTTCATACCACGTGAAAGGCCCTTTTTTAACAAACATTTTACGTATTTAAGTTTTCTTTCTATCTCTTACCGTTTAAAAATTGCAGTGGAAAAACATAATTTTCCATGGTAAAATTATAACTAGTTTTCTAATAAAACACATTGCACTTTGTTCAACGATGTAGTAGGATTCATAACAAATTGATCGACTACTTTTACGTGTGTCAGAATTCATCTTGGACCCTTCATCCTGTTCTTTTCTCATTGGTAACTGAGCCAGTTTCAGAAAACTTCCTAACTAAATCATTTACAGCCATATGACTCAAGGTTATACCTGGATATCTATTGTTAAACACTTTGCAGTTATCCTGGAACACTTTTGTTATGACCAATAAGTAAAATAAAGTATATTTTTTTAAGTTTACACCGTATTTGATTAGGTACTACAGGAAATGGTACTTTTGAAATTAGTACTACCATTGACTAGTCAATGGTACTACAGAAAGCGGCCCACGCTTGGGTTTTTCTCATCAGCTATAAAACTTGTTTCTCACAAAGTAAAACGTAATGACTTGTTTGCCTATCTGCCTAAAAATAATTATGAATTGTTTCCTTCAGTTATTGCACCATTTAATGTGTCTAGAGACGAATTTTGGATGTTTTATTAGAAAACTAGTTACAATTTTACCACAGAAAATTATGTTTTTCTACTGCAATTTTTAAACGGTAAGAGATAGAAAGAAAACTTAAATACGTAAAATGTTTGTTAAAAAAGGACCTTTCACGTGGTATGAAATTTGTTATACCTTGCTATTTAAGAATTTTGAGTTTTCAGCTTTCTTTTATTCTTAAAATTTGAGATTTTTTAAAAATTAGAAAATAACTTGGAAAATGCCCTTACTACAAGTTATCTTAAAGAGTAGCTCAAGAATAAGCTTGGAAAGAAATTTGGCGCTGTTCCGTTCAGTAGTTAGGGTAATACGGTACTTAACTTCAAAGACCTTTTTTAAAACGTTTTGACCCACCCTGTAAATACGGTTAAAGATAATTAAACTTTTTTTGCACCAAAATGATCGGGGTGATTAGACCTTTAAATTGATGTATTACACAACCCATGTTTACATTTGAAAATTTCTCAAAAAGCACCCCTACCCCCCAAATTGGGCCCTTTTGGGGCATTTTTCAAAATTGAAAATAATTTTATTGGATTTGGCATGTCCAAATTAGGGGGAAATGAGAACAAACAAGTGTTAAAAGCCTTACCTTTGCACACAACAGATATGGAAAGTTTTCAAATGAACACCCTGTATAAGGTTATGTGAAGAAATAATTTAGAGTAACCAGCAAAAATACTGATAAATAGTTCCTAGGCAGCGGTGACATAAAATGCATATGGATATTGCTTGTTTATTTTATATACATTGATGTTTTAAGTAAGTAAGTGAAAAGCTGGTTTTGTGACCCTAGGGCCATAAAAACCTAATCGGCCACCAATGACGATGACAGCTGCCAATTCGGTCCTGAACAGTAATTACGTAGCTTTCAGCCTCCAATTAATGTTTGTAAAATGGCTAAAAGCGTCTTAGTGTGGTCAACAAGTAATTATTTTTTCAAATATATAAACTAAGTCTAACAAGTCCATAATAGTGTTTATAAAAAACACTGCAAGTTATTTTTTTTATTTTAATTACGATTGAAAAGGTCTACCATCCCACAAACTTTATAATACATATTATTGAAATACATACTTGACTTAAATATAAGAAATAAAAGGACTTTAAATTTATATCTTTTAACATTTAAATATCTTTATTCTGTCCTTACATAGGTTTCCTCCTACTTTTAACCGTTGCAAACTCGTCCATTAAGCCCTTCGACTGTGGTTTTCCATCACCGCCGTGCCGTCGAGGTTGCGCCTATAGCAACCTAACGTGGCAGCGGCGGCACCCGTAAGCGGTGGCACCCATAAGCGGCGGCACCCTTAAGCGGTGCTGCCCCTAGGCATTGGCCTAGTTCCTAGTGGGAAATCTGTCCCTGCTTCTTATCCGTTTAATCAGGTCGTTTTAACGATTGGAAATTAAAACTTAACTAAACTTATAGCATTGGCTTAAAATGGTGATTCAATTTTAGCTAAACGATGAGGACACAAAAAACAGATACTGATGGATTATGCCATGATGCAGTCTACAACAGTTCCCTGTTTTAAAATGAGGAAAAGTGGCGACAAATAAGTATCTGTGGTTTTGGATGCTTTTTAATGGCAGGAATATCCTTTAGTTGCCATTAGCTGAATGGGCTATTAATTAACAGATGTGTCTAAGGAATATGTCGGCCTTAGTCACTGACAAGACTACAAGATCATACCACTCATCCTACACTCATCTCCATATATACTTGGCCTAAAATACCTACTTTGTATGGTTGCCATTTCAATGAAAAAGTATAAAAAAATTGATAATATTGGGGTGATTAATTTATTTCGGTATTTGGGGTTCGTTTGGAAACTACTTTGTATTTAAATTTGTCTCTGCCGAAGCCCCTACATTAAAGAGTTTAAATAAGTTATTCCTTTATGTGGTGTTCGGTGATCTAGAATCTTTAGCACTTCCATGTATGAATGACACCAATGTTTAATGCCATAAGCTTAGGAGGCCTAAGTTCTTTCTTATTTAATTAAGTATTCTTTCTTCATTAATTTTTGTTAAAGTGTAAATTGTATGTTATCTTTCAGATTATGTGACTAAATTTAAGCTAATAGGCCTACTCTAAATATAACCTAAGAAAACTTTAATAGGCTAGTTAAATTATAAAACTGGAATATCTGTGTAGTAAAGATTTAATGTAGGTACCTAGATACATTATTGGAAAGTTATTTAAACAATAACAAACATTAAATTAAATTAAATTTAACATGTATTTAACTTACAGCTAAACTCTTCCCTATTTTAACTTACTGTTTGGAATACTCCTTGACCATCCGCCTCAGGCGAACTTGAGAATTCCATCGCTTCCATTGATAATATTGATTGGCCGATGCTAAAATCAAGGTTACCTTTAAGTCAAAGTGGTTCAATACAGCTATACAAAAACTGCATTTACAATTAGCCATGTAAAATACCCAGGTTATAACATTGGGTATATATCCAGGGTATTTATCTATCACTATTGAGTTACGGTACAAACAAGTTTTAGTTTAGTATTTCCCCTTTAACACGGTCGATGAGGCCGCGTGATGGCCGGTCGCAGCGACTGGGTGATGGCCGGCCGCTGCCGGGAGTGGGGACAGCTTCAGCCCTGTTTAGATGAGTGTGCGAAAATGTTTGAATTAAGTTTCATCTAATAGGAGAGCAGAGAGAGATGCAGCACTAAAGAAAACTGCTAGCCGGGCCTCAGTATTACCAAATGGAGGGAAAAAGCAGGGGTGAAGTACCCGGATACACTATTAAAAAATACAGCCAAAAAGGTGTCAAGCACAATTTAGAGTTGAGGTTCCTTCCACAATGCTACAGTAGATTCATTATCGTTATTCTATTCCATGTCATTATCCCCACTCTATAACTGACACAATAAGCGGCAACCGAAACAACGTCTCACAGCTATGGCTAATGACACATTGGAACAATAGTTTGTAAACGGCGCTTTGACGAGTACTTTTTGCGCACCAATGGAAATCGCTAGTGGCAACTAGATTACTCGTCATGCGCAGCCAACGTGTAAACAACATTTGGGTGTTTATTATATTATTTATTTTAGCAGCCTGCATCAAATTATTAGGGAATTAAAGCATAAAAAGCAAATATACGTACATGTATCACTTAATTTTGTTATTTTATGGAAACAAATTACAACAATTTGTATAGTAGTCTAACAGAATTATTGATTTCATACGTGTAATTATAGGAAGATGGGTTTATTGAATAATCTTAAGTTTTGTTTAGATAAACATCTCTAACTTATCGGTAGCCTACTATTGATACATTAGAAACTGTAGGCCAAATTTCATCATGTATCAATTTGAACCTTGAGTAAGACAAAGCTTAGTTAATCTTTTTACAGTAATATTGTTCAGAAGAAAATATTCATAAATTAGGCCTGTTTTTTTCTGCCAAGATTCTGCCAATTCTGTTGCCAAGATTTTTTTCTTGGGCTTCACTTGTTATTATATTCAAATTCTTCATGTTACTAATATTATAAATCTGAAAGTTTGTGAGTTTGTGCGTTTGTGTGTTGTTCAATCACGCATAAACTACTGGATGGATTGGGCTGAAATTTAGCTTGATGTAACTTCATAAGGCCAAACCACAAACCAAATTCAAATTTAGTTGGATCAAACTAAATTCACATAACTTAACTTAAGCTTCCAACAAAAGTGTATCACATGTGAATACTGAATTAGCGTAAGCAATTAAATAAAACCATTTAGTGTTTGGTACATTTAGGAGATACCGTACAACTTAAATTACTCCATCTTATCCGGACACCTTTTAACCAGCTATCGGTTTAACCATACTACATTTGGCAGGAGTAAAATCTTTTAAACCCGACAATATTTATTGGCACAGCGGTTTAACCGGACTGGATAGGCAGAGGAAGTGGGCAGTACTGAAACGACTTTTCTCGTGGGAAAGATTTGAGACCAGTGATCACGTGTCTCCAATACAATGCTCTCCCAAATTTAAGTAAAATATTTGGGTTAGGTTTTTGAGTGATTCCCGCTTCGTGCAAAATTTAGGGAATGTCCGTTTAGCCAGAAAAACATTATCCAGACTGGCCTCGGTCCTGAGGAGTCTGGATAAGAGGGAGTCTGCTGTACGTAACTTACTGTACTAGTAGGCCTACTCTACTGTGTCTCGCGTGGGAATGATCACACTCTGAACCTATTTTTGGGACTAGTGACATAATATAGGCTACATTGTAACTATGTCTAAATGCTGAATAAAGGATTTGAATTTAATATAGGTACTATTTCTAAACACCCACACTGTTAAGTATTAACTCAGACCTGGGTTAGGCCTAAATATTCATTTGTAGGTTATAAGGATAAGTTATATATAATTGGGGTATATATCTTAATACCAAAAAACTGGATATTTTATTCGGCCACATCACATCACTAAGCTACTAATAGCATTAAGATAACTTGGCATCATGACTAGCCTACCTACATAACTTAAACCCAACGCACAGGAACAGTGCTGAAGTTCCAAATTTGACTCTCGTGCTGCAAAACTGCAGTTACTAAGTTAACTTAGGCTACTGCAGTAGCCTAACTTACAAGGAGTTAAGTTAGCCAATTGTGTATAGTAATTAAATAAATGGTAGTAATGTAAAGTGGGGTTTGGATTATGTTGGACCATCAGTTGCTTCTGAGGATCTATCATTTGATAGGTTCGTTAACCCTTTGAGTGCTGCTGCGTCTCGCTCCACTGTCGTAGCTTGAGTGCCGAGCGTCTCGTAGCGAGACGCTCGAGGTTGTGCGAGAAATGCCGGCGTCTCGGAGCGAGACGCTCAGAAAATCACTTCATACAGTATCACATTTCAATAAAGCTGTCTGCAAATCACACCAAAAGCAACAAAAGGAGATCGGCAACAACTATTTTGCTCTTTTACTAAAGAATGGAGCTGAGAAATGTGGTCAACCAACCACACTACAACAAAAACCCAAACATCATGCGTCATGCAGTGCGTTTGATGGGTTGGGGTTAGACAGCTTTACACAGCTGGTTCATGTGTTGTTGTTTCGACTGTTTACGTTCTAGTAAATATTTGTTTACGAATTGTTTGGTTATAGAATTTCAGGTTATGGTCATGAATTGTTGAAAAATACATTTTAAACCTTTAAAAAGTTACTATGATACCACAACTTTCGTGCATCTGGTGATAGTATGTGGCTAATAACAAAGTGTACCGGTAACTGAACTTGGTATGTCAGGCCTAACTTATAGATGCATGATTTTATTTTGCCCGTTTGTATATTTTGTGCATGGCTTCTAAGTTAATAGTATTCTAATAGTAATTTGAATTATAAACATAATAATGATAGGCCTACATAAAATACCGGTACAGTCAAATGTAAATTTATAAAATGATATATGATTAGTTTTGTCGGTACTTTCCTGTTATCTGGTACCTGCGAAAAAATTCTTTCCTGTTGGTTAGGTTAGGTTAGGTTAGTTTATCAATAACATGAGTATTGTAAGTAAACAGACAAAACTGTAACAACACAAGTCCTAGAGCATGATTTAGGTTGTTTGCTGGGTAGTAATGTAAGTGGGGTTTTGATTATGATGGACCATCAGTTGCTTGTACATTAAAAGTATTAAAGGTAACGGTAGGGCATAGAATTTTTTGAGACCTATTTGTATTAAATGTTACCTATTTTTTGGACATATACAATAAATAGGCTACATTTGTTATACATCATCTCTCTATGGTTTAAAAAAATGAATGAAAAATTGAATGTCAATTAATAAGTTAATTTTAAATTGTGTTAGGCCTACCTAGTTTAACTCGAAACTTTGAAAATGAGAAATGAGTAAAGTTAAACTGCACCATACTTCTGTATTGTCCATGAAAATATTTTATTTTAACTCGTGAAACCCTACTAAAATTAGTATTTTACAATGCACGATCCAAACTTACTTAATACAGTAGACTCCCTCTTATCCGGACACCTTTTAACCGGACATTGGTTTAATCGGACTACACTCGGCGGAAATGACATCTCTTTAACCGGACAATTTTTATCAGCACATTGGTTTAACCAGACTAGATCGGCAGGAAGTGGGCAGTACTGAGACGACTTTTCTCGAGGGAAAGATTTGAGACCAGTGATCACGTGCCTAAAAAATGATCTCCTAAATTTAAGTCGAATATCACAGTAAAACAGTCCGTTTTAACGGGTTTTTGGGGACGTTGGTTTAACCGTAAAACCCGTTATCCGGACTGGCCTCGGTCTCAAGAAGTCCGGATAAGAGGTAGTCTACTGTAATCTACATAACAAAAAAAATGCATGCCAAAAATGTTAACCCTCCGAGTGTTAAGCGTCGCGTAATCGACGCACAACACACCCGCCGTGGTGTTATGCGTCGCTTTTGCGACCAACAAACAACGTTTACGGCGAAGGCTCTGGGACTGACTGAATCAGATTGAACTGGATCGAGATTGGTATCGTTGTTTTCGGCATATTCTGAGCTTTCTCCTGATGTCTGTTTCTAGACGCTATTCATTTTAGTTCCGAAAATATTGTAGCAGACAGCTGACGTGCGTATTTCTAAACAACTTGGTTTAACCTCGCACCGATGACTGATGTGTTTTATTACGTTTATCATTGTTTTAGTGTTAAAAATCACAAGTAGTGATATACGTGATGCATTATAAGAAGATTTAAGTGATTTTGAAGGGCTGGTTGATGATCCTGAAGAAGTCAGTAGTGATAAGTTATTGATGTAAATTATCAGCCAGATTCCTAGCTATGGTTAGGCTATGAATTCTTAGCAAAACGCTATGTACCGAAATCTGTTTTTTGCCCATAACTTATTTATTTGCAAACCTACTTCCTTATAGCCTATTATTATATTTTTGGAATCCTCATAAAATTCTGAACAAAGTGGCTATTAAAAATATTTGTAGACCTATAAATTATAACAATTTATTGAGCGCAAACATAAGTTAATTTTTTTTCATTTATTTGATAATTTTTGAGAAATGTTAACCCCACAAAAATTGTTGAACATTTTTTTGTAGGCTAATGTTTTATATGTTACATTGAAGCCCATAATTTTCCAAACAAAATTATATATAAAACAGTATACTTTACATTGTTTTTAAGTTTCTAAGATACATTTTAATAAAACCCTGCGATTGCGCAATAAATGGGCGAACATTAAGACCAAAACTATGGACACTTGGAGGGTTAATGAATAAAGTATTTTATGACGATTTTCCTAAACACCTGCATTGATGTGGAAAACTGGTCGGAATTCCTAGAAGCAACACCACAAGTAGGCCTAGGAAACCTCAAATAAAATTGTTTCACCGTTTGAGGCACTCAAAGGGTTAAACACAGCACAAAACTGTCAAGTGAAATCCATCAATGTAAATAAACCAATTTTAACCCATCTTCTTTTAATGAAATAGCCTACCCTATTTTCAGAAAATTTATGACCAACAGCTTTTTTCAGTAAATTTTAAGTTCCCCAAGTAGGCTAGGCCTATATCTTTCCCGCCCGAAAATATTCTTGGAAATCTCGGTGACGTTTACTGAACATAACCTCAATCAACATGAATGGATTCCACATAGTAGAGCATAAGCAACCAAGGCTAATGAATGCAGAGCTTTGAAGTCGTCAAAACTTGTAATAGTATCCTGATGAAAGACGCTAGTTCAATGAAATTTGACAACTGCGTCTGAACTGTAAGTTATTGTTTTTGTTTTTAAAAAAGCGTCTTTCCATTCCCTGAAAAGCGGACGGATATATGTTTTATAGCAAAGGGTTTCGAAGACTAGCTTCCTGTTCCTGTGTTACAACGGAAGTTTATGATTGTATTGACATTTGAAGTGTTTGCCTTACCTTTGTAATTAATAAAATCGATGATTAGTTATAAACTAATATTATAATTAATTTAACTAAATAGTACACCCATAATCTTATTCAATAACTCAATTTCGATCCTTAATAGGCCAACAAGTACGATTAAAACTACTATTCCAAGATGGCGTCTGGTCCTGATGTTTGGTTCGACAGGAAACCACTTCTGGATTGAAATTACAGGCCACGCAAGAAATTCATACTATAATCCATGTGCAATACGTCTGAATGGATTTTTGGTATTTTACTTGCACTTTTTCGTACATTAAATGTATCTGTAATCAAATAAAATATGTTGTAATGAGGGATGGTATACATTATTTCGACTGTAATGTATATAAATATACAATGGTAGAATACGCTTTACATTCTACCTTTATTTTGTTTCATTATCTCTATTTAAGGACTTTAGACAGTGAGAAATGTTAAGAATTCTAGGGTTTGGTTTAGTCCAAGACAAATTTGTTGCAATGACATAAAAATTGAGCTAAAAATGATTGAGGCAATGGTTATTTAAAGTAATTTTGAACTGCCATTTTGTTATTAATGGTCCGATTTCTATTTTCTTTATGTTAATTCTTATGTTTCGTTAAGACCTACAAAATAATACCAAACTCGACTATACTTTCTGTTTGAAAATTTTAAGTTACACCCTACCCCCGCTACCCCTTAGGGCAAAATTTTCAAAACTGACCATAATTATTGTAGCCTTTTTTATCCAAACAACTTGCCACAAACCGATTTCAAATATCTCAAATAGTTAAAATTAAAAAGTTAAAGGGGGTTCAAGTTAATTTTTTTGTCTCCCTCATGGTTATTTGGATTTGAAACGTTTTAGGGCACCATTTTGTTATTAGTGAGTCGATTTTGGTTTTCTTTATGTCAATGTTAATGTTTCGTCAAGACCTGTAAAATGATACCAAACTCAACTATACTTGTCGTTTGAAAATTTTGAGCTACCCCCTACCCCCGCTACCCCTAAGGGCAAATTTTTCAAAATTGACCTAATTATTGTAGCCCCTCATATCTAAGAAGGTTTCTGCAAACCGATTTCAAATATCTCAAATGGTTGAAAAGTTAAGGGGGGTGCAAGTCACTTTTCAGCCACCCTGTACATATAGATTTATATATATGTACGTCCGTGAACGCGATAACTTGAGTAATTTTTGTCCGATTTTGGTGAAATTTGGTTTAAAGGTGTAAGGCGGGATAAACCTGAATGAGTTCGCGAACCAGCATGATCGGACCATGGCAACAGGGTTTTACGGGAGGTTTTATGGGGTAAAAAATGGCTTTTCTCATTTTTGACCCTCAAAACACAAAATTTCCCAATTTCTCTCTAGAATTTTTTAAAGAGCTTAAAAAAACAAATAATTTAGTTTATCAAAGTGTTTTTGTACGGTTATTGGTAACGGAGAAAATTCAAAAAATTGTAAATTTAAAATTCCCATTTTATTCTTATGGAGAATATTGTAAACTGTTGTATTTTGCTTGTTTGTGGATATATTTGGATCAAACTTGGCAAATTTATTTATTTTATACTAAGCTATTAATATTTTACTAAAATACAGAATTTACAGTATTAGTTTCCTTCTTTCCTTGTAGCAGCAAACCTAGGTACTAGTTAAACCTAATGTTATTTAAATAAATTTGATTGAAAATCAATTCAGACATAGGAAATTCGCTTAGTCGGCAGGTTTGCAGCGGCGGGGGTATTTAAATGTAACATTGTCGAAAACGCCGAAACCAGCTGTTACGGTTATTAGCATAGACATTCGGGTCAGTGACTGTGACAAATTTGTTTGTATTATGATCCATACCGTTTCTGTTATAATATCCGTGATTTTAAACATATGACTTTTTTCTTTTACTAACACTCATTACAGGATTTACAAAATTTTGTTTGTTAGGCTACATATAAATTATTTATTTAAGAGTTATGTCTGTAATTTAGTTAATTTTATCCTGTTATGATGATGTTATAATTTGTATGCATTGAATTCAGTTAACTTAAATCTTAGTTGATTAATTATGTAGACCTACGTGAAACATTTATTTACGATTTAAACTATAATCCGTTCAGAGACAGGATTTTATTGCTCGCTCTGATCAAGTACAATACGAGTACTGTAAGTACAACGGCAGCATTGCTGGTGCGGTGCGAGTGCAAAGTGCAAAGTAGAAAAACAGAAAAACCTCTTCCTCTTGGTCTTGTAGCTTGGAGCTACCTCTTCTACTTCCACTCCACTTCTTCCTAAGCAAAGTTGGTACGGAATTCGTTTATATTATTCGTGCACAATGGCTGCAGAACACCAGTACTTTTATGAAGATGAAGTGTTTAGGATTAATAAAAAAGGAAATATTGAGTTCGGAATGGTGCTTGAAAATTCGGAACTAGTTAGTAGTGATGAATCTGATGGTGAAGAAGGAGGCAGGATGAAACAAGGGCATATACGAGTTGCGTGGCACCCTTCGGGCGAGGAAGAAGTAATTCAGGAGAAAAAGGTTTGTGAAAATAATTAATTCCTGTCTGTTAGGCTATTGTTCAGATTTGATTGCAGACAAAAAGTACATAGCTTAGTTGGCCTAGCATTGTTAAATTTGATCTAGATTAGGGTCGGATAGGGGCCTAATGCAGAAGGGGGGTTGTTAGGCCTATCTAGATAGATTTGTCAAATCATGTTTCATGTTGACAGGAATCCCTCTAGAAATAGGCTAGTCCTCTCAAAACGTTGATTTCAATGCTTTTCTCAGGCCCGGTAGGCTAATGATTTGCCTAACTTAATTATTGATTTATGGGCAAATATTTACCATAGGCCTACTTGCACTGGGATATGATGTAATTTTTATATGTCTATTTTCAGTATTTTTAACGCTGAATCCAAAAATGCAATCAGTTTTTGTCGGAGAGATTCCTAAGTGGCCGTAGTGGCCGTAAAAAGATGGTTAGGATTACGAATCTAAGGATATTTGAGCGGTAGGCCTACTGAAGGTAACTTAATGGTAATATGGCGTGGTCTGGTCGGGTCCGTATTGAGTGAGGAGTGAGGACTGAGTGAGAAGAGCAAACAACTGTTATACTTGATCTAATGCGGAATGAAATCACATCATTTCGTTTTGAAATCAAATAATCAGTGAGGCATGTGAGGAAGGTATGAGTTGGTTCATTATAACCTAACCTTTACCTTACTAATCTAACCTCACTTCAAAACACTCAATACAGTCATGAATCCGCATAAAACAAGTCCGACCTATCTTCCTCACATGCCTTTTCTGACATAAAATGTGATTTTAAAATCAATATTAAGGTTCCTGGGTTGGGTTGGGTTAGGTTAGATTAGAAAATAGCCTATAATACATAACTTAACTTTCCTACTACAGTAACTTATGCAGAAATAGTAGTTTACGCAACGATTGCGTTAAGTGAGTCTTTACGACACGAGTAGAAAATTTAAGGCACGAGCCTTGGCGAGTGCCTTAAAAACTTCTACGAGTGTCGTAAAGACTATTAACGCGAGTTGCGTACACTACTTTACCTACGACCGTTTTTTAATTACTATCAATCAGGATTTAGGCCTAATTACTAACAATCACTACTGATAACTTTTTAGAGAGGTTATGTTTTCGTGTATTGTCATTGCCACTGAAAGTGATGCAACGACTTGTTGTATAATCAGCTGATTTCCTGTAATTACGTGTTTGTTAAACTTCGTTAAATATTACATTGCTAGCAGCATTCTTACCATAAATAATATTGTATCAGGTACAATTCGGCAAATATTTCATTTATTTTTGGACTTCCACCAACATAATTAAGAATACGCGAGTATCAACATGAACAAGTCGGATCAACAATTAAATTGGTCAACTGATCAGCTGATCAGCTGATTAGTTCACGTTCGAAGCATTACAATTTTAATTCTTTTCTCTCAATACTTGAACGTCATTGGTCTGTTACCTGTGTGGATATGAGAAAACTATGCGGATATGAAATGAAACTATGCGGATATGAAAGTAAACAGCTGTAAAGTGAAACTTTTCAATTCTAAGAACTGGACTGAAATGGCTACTTTAAAAAACGGTCGTAGGTAAATATTTTAACTTAACCTACCTTGCTTAATACCTACTTTGGCCTATACAGCTTTGCTGCGGCCTTATAAAACGCGTGGACTCGTTGTTAGGGTTCCGTTTCTTGAACTGGAACTCCGCCAGGTACCCGACGAAATGCTCGGACCTCACCCCGTATTTGGGGATGTGGTCTCGAACGTCTCTCCAACACCGCTCAATTCGGTTTGTATGGGCACCCGTGACGGGATCAATGAAGTCAGTACTATGGTTCACAGTTAAATGTTGGAAGCCGTACTCCTGCAATCTGCTGTAGCCTACGACTTCCAACAGTCAGTGATAATGGTACTGCCAGGCAAAACCCAGCGGCGGATTAGTCGAATTAGGGTGCGCCTTGAGCGGTCAGGAGCGGGGATTTTAAAATGTTTTTGTCGAGCCTCTCTGCACACCCCCCCAACACCCAGTTTCCCTTCACTCGCCTACCTCGGTTGTATTTTGCCTCGTCTATTTCAACAATCTCAGTTGGCCCGCTTAGTCTTTCAGAATTTGTTACACAATCGTCAATGTACACTTCTCTTGTAAACGAATACCAATCTACAACAGTTTTACTTGACAGATTGAGATTTGTTTCCAGGAATTTTTGCCGGGGTGGGTCAAAAAAAAAGATAGTGAGCGCGTTCTGGGAACATGTACCGGTGCCGCACCGGTGCAAAAAATGTGTCGTTCTGGGAGACCGGTGAGTTAACCCAGCAGACAGCTATTTCCTCTTTTTCCTCACTGGTGCAAGATTTATGCAACGGAGAAATTGTACGGTGCATAATACACCGGCGGCATCTGATTGGTCAGTTTCTTTGACAACAGCTTGCAGCTACGGCAAGATGGCGGGTCCACCGAATAATGTTCATTAGTTTTATAGGCTATGTTGCGCAATGAGTGAAAATTTGTTCAATGAGGGGGTTATATTACGTAATAAATAATAAATAATAGGTAATTTTCAAATAATTTATTCCGTGAGGGCAA